GCGCTGCCGCTTCCCTCCCCCGGGGCCTGGCTGGCTGGCTGGCTGCCTGGCTGCCTGGCTGGCCGCGCCGGGAAAAGTTGATGGTTTGTAAAGGCGAAAGTCGGGGCCGTTCTGTGGCGGCGCAACAAATGCGGATCAAAGATTCAAGGCCCATTATGTCGGGCTTGCCCAGGGCTTGCTCTGGGATTGCCCGTCCGAAATGGCGGTGTCGTTGACGACAGCCTAAACTGTGGAGCGGAGCGTCGTCACCTTTCTAGTGACGCGTTTCACCAGCGGCAATAGCTACCCTCCCACTGACCCAGTCAACAAAACATAGTCCCGTGGACGTCCGAGGGACGTCCGGCCGGGACTACCCGGACCTCCCGGTCGGACGTCCGAGGGGACCTCCGGATGGCAAAGAAAACGCGTCCCCTGGAGGTCCGAGGGACGTCCGAACCGGACGTCCCGGGTGGACGTTCCGCGGACGTCCGCCGCAGACGTCCGTAGGGACTATCCCGGCGGACGTCCCTCGGACCACCGAGGGACGTCCCATGTTCAGCGTTAAAAATTTTGGTTAAAAATTTGAACGCAAGTGTGTTAGCTTGACCTCAATTTGCCACTCCCGACCGTCCTTACCCTTCACCTTTCCCTTCGGACGATGAAAACTCGTTGCACTTGGGGAGAGTCGAACCTCCGACCTTCAGGTTGTGAAGCAGCGCACTTATCCACTGTGCCATGCCGCTCCCATGCGTCATGGTGTGCAGTGTCTCGACTACATGATACGTCGCGTCCACCGTAGCGATGTCCCCGGCGGACGTCCTGGGGAGGTCCCAGGGAGGTCCCGCGCGGACCATGCCCGGGACCATATGCACGTCTCGTTTCACCCAGTGAGACATGACTTTGGACTTTTCCTTCAAAGTGTTGTCATCTCATCGAAGGGCCATGTCCGAACAGTATGTACCTGGGACGTCCTCAAGGAACATCCTCCGGGACTAGCCCGCTAGGACCAGCTTGGGACCACTGGCAGTCGGGCGTGTTGCCTATGCGCCAGGGGCCATGTCCCAATAGGACGTCCCTGGGACGTCCGCAAAGGATATCCGCCGGGATTAGCCCGGCGGGACAGGCCTCGGACCACTGGTACATCGGCGTTTTGCCCAAGCAACGCGGGGCCATGTCCCAAAAGGACGTCCTTGGGACGACCCAGGGACGTCGGCCGGATCTAGCCCTTCGCAACCTTTCACGGGTCCCGATGGGACGTCCGCCGGACCTATGGAGGACGTCTGCTGTCGGCTGGACCCGTCGGTTGCACCGGCCGGGTGGTCCGAGCGGACGTCCCTGGGAGGTACATGAGGGACATCCCCAGGGGACCATGCAGGGACCACTACAGGGATAGTCCGAACATGGTCCGTCCCGGACCGGGACTATGTTTTGTTGACTGGGGATACAAGACGCGGCGCCCCTTATGGATTTAGTGTCCAGCTGCGCCCTGTCGCCCTGTATCGACGCACGGCGAGGAGGGGGGGGGGGGTGCAAAGCACATGGACGAGAAGGAAGCTTCCACACGCCCAGTTGTCAAGTCAGGCAGCGAAGACGTGGGGGTGGGTGACCAAGGTCGAGACGGAGGCGGAGCGGGGCGGGGCGGGGCCGCTTGACCCTGTTAGCTCAGCACCCAATTATATTCCCGGCGAGAAGCGGCCGAGGCGGGAAGCGGGAAGTGTTGTGGGGCGCGAGGTGCGCGAGGTGCGCGAGGTGCGCGAGATGCGCGAGGTGGGCCGGAAGAGGCAGTGGAACGTGTGTCGCACAGCCCCACAACAACGGCCCATTCTGTCCCAGTGTACAGGCGTAGATGGATGACACTTCCCAGCCCTTTCTGCTTTGACTTGAAAAAGAAAAAATATTTTGCAGGCGAGGCGTAGCAAACTGATCGCGCAGTGTTGTTGAAACTGTTTAAATACGGACTGAGGGCTGCAGCGGCAGTGGCTGTCTAGAAGGGTCCGGCCGGTGGACACGTTGTTCCATCGATTGGTGCTAGGCTGCCTGCCTGCCCGCCCGCCTGCCTGCCTGCCTGCCTGCCCGCCTGCCTGCCTGCCTGCCTGCCCGCCCGCCTGCACCTCCGGTAGGCAACGGACTGCCTGGCACCTGCAGGCGAACGGCCCGCGCGGGTATAACAAGCAATTTGCGCGAGTGCTCACCACTCTCTCCCCGGCCGTCGTCCCGGCCGTCGTCCTGGCCGTCGTCCTGGCCGTCCAGGCCGTCGTCCTGGCCGTCCAGGCCGTGCCGTCGGCGGGGTGGCGGTCGCGTCGTCTTAGCTCGCCGTCAGTCCGCCGTCGACGCTCACGATGCGCAAAGTGACGCCGCGGCGTCAGCCACGATCAGCGCTCTCATCAAAACCCTCAAGAACCCGCCAAGACCGCGCTCCTTGCTTCGCTGCTCCTTCTTCTTCGTCTTCTTTCTTTACACTCTGCGCTTTTCTGATGCCCCACCGCGGTAAACGAACCACCGAAAAAGAAGCGCCCTGAGTGCCTCATTAACGGTGTGGCTGCGGTGGTAAAAAAGGGAGGGGGAGATTCTAATATCCATCAACGTCATATCGTCATCCATAATGACCACACGCGCTAGGGAAAAACCGGGTGGTGAGTGAGCGAAGGCCCAACGCGCTTTATAACTTGACCTTTCACTGTGTCGCCATGAGAGAGAGAGAGAGAGAGAGAGAGAGAGAGAGAGAGAGAGAGAGAGAGAGAGAGAGAGAGAGAGAGAGAGAGAGAGAGAGGCGATGGAGTGAGTCGGGGCGGCCTGTGGTGTCGCGTCGCTGTCACAACCATTGAGGGTTGGCCGCGGCTCGGAAACCTCACCGCGTGGCGTGGCTTGGCGTGGCTTGCCGTGGCGCGGTCTGCTCCGCCCGCCTCGCTCGCACGAGAGCATCACGCCGCAAATATTTTGCCTTTGTGAGTCTCGGCTTTCCTCGTGTCCCGCGCCGGAGGAACAGCATAACTCCCTTCCCTCCCTGACCGCCGCCACCGACGCCGCCACCGCCGGCCAAACTCGCTCCCGTCGGCTGCCCCATTGATTTTGCGTGTCATTAGCTGGCCCTCTTTGACATGCTCCGTCTGCCTCCGTCAGAGTCAACACAGACGCGCGGGGAAGGGGGGCGCCACGCGCGCGCGCGCGCGCGCACACACACACACACACACACACACACACACACACACACACACACACACTCACACTCACTCACTCACTCACGGACGCACAAACACACGTACGTGCGGTGCAGCGGCGTGACCAATTGTAATCAAAACAGAGTCCCATCGGCGACAACATGAGACGCCGCCCCGATAATACTCCAAAGTTTAATAGGCCATTACGCTCCACGTTTGAAATTTCCTCGCGCGTGGAGTAGCGTCGTGGCGACGGGGCGAAGATGGTGAAGACGCAGAGCGCGACATATGAAAGTGTTTACACCACCGCACGACGAATAAAACGGGAGGACATGAGACTCTTTTTTGAAAGCGTAGTAGGACGAGTGGGGCCGGACGGCGGGACACGCCTGCCTTGTTGGGGACACGTCGTGCACCCCGATGGGCCCTAGATAGCCGTGCCGCCGTGCTGCATCGTGCATCGCGCATCGAGTTTTTGATTCGCCCGGCCGAACGGGCCGAACGCCACTCGACAATTAGGGTAGGGAACCGTAGGGAAGGCTGGCAGCCCTCGCAGCGCGGTGCCGCGGTGGCGTGGAGTAGCCCCTTCCGTGCGCGCCCCGCCCCGCCACGCCACCCTTTGTTCCCGGCTGTGGTTCGACAAAAGGCACGTTAAAGGCGGATCAGATCAGTGCGGATAATCATCCAGGTCGGTGCGGGCTGCCAGGGCCCACCCCGCTGCCGCTCCGGGCCGCGCGTGCTGCCTACCCGCACGGCGCGGCACGGCGGCCCCCGGACATGCAGGCAGCGATATCTCGACATGTCGAGAACGTTGGCCGCGACGCGCATCGTGCTCCGGACAACAAGACCAGGGAATCGAATTCGAAAAGCAAGTCACCCCACGTGCACGTTGGCGTTGGCAGGGCCGATCTACCGGCGGGGCGCATCGCCCGAGAGATAGAGACAGATGGCATGAATGGCAGATGGCATGGTCCCGCACGGCAGCACGCACACGCGCCGACCTGTCGCGCTGTCTCTCTCGCACCCACACGGCACACCGCTCGAGTGCGAGAGAGACAGCGCGCAATCGGACCGCTGGTCTGGCAGTGGAGGAACGCCCCGAACGGAGAAGACCGTCGTGAGGAGTGAGACTCGCAGAGAGACTCGAAGAGAGACTCGAAGAGACCACTTTGTATCGACCAGGACGAGCGAGCGGCCGAAGGAGGGCCAGGGAGTCTTTGTGCTGATAAGCATTCAGATGACAGCCCTGGACGGGACGGCCCTGGACGGGACGGCCCGATGCCGATCGCCGTATTGACCGCGGCGGGACATCGGTGGAACGGGAGTCCTGTAATCACTACACGCGGAAAAGAGTGCGCGGCGCCAGCCCGTCATCCGTCACGGGACTGGCGCACTTTAGGACCGCTGCTACAAACGTCGTGTGACGAGGGGAAAAAGAAATTAAAATGCAGATGGTAAAATTTGGAGAATATTGGGCCGCGTCGCAGTGGGGGTGGCGCTTCCCCCCGAGCTGTCTGTGGTGGGGTCGCGATAAGCTGCCGTTTTTGGATCGGGAGCCGCAAAGGGTTGAGAACCGCTGCTTGAGGGGATGAAATTTTCGGTGAACACCCTCGGGTGTCATCTTTCTACTTTTAAATTTGTGGGCTTTGCTCGAGACTTTTGCTGATGATCTTCGAGTCAATAAGCATCGTGTTTTTCTTGAGGTTTCTCATGTTGAAGTTTTTGAAATTTTTGAACATTTGAATTTATTTTTTCCTGAGGTTCCTCGTTTTTTGTTTTCAATGTTTTGACGCCGAGGAAAAACATTCTACGAAATCACAGCAATGAATCTGCCCTGCGACGCCGCTGCCCGTCGACGCTTACCTGGACGACGGGTGCCCGTCGGCCCATCGTGCGCGAGGGTCTCGGTGACAACGGCGCGGGGGACTTCCTCCCTCTCTGCAAACACACCAAAAATGAATTTTCGTCATTCCCTATCGAGGATCGATTCCCTCTCGAAAGAGGATCGAACCGAAGCAAGGAGGATGTGCGGCATGCAGCAATGCAGCGAGAGTGAGAGGGAGGGAGTCGTCTGCTAATGACCTTGGCTGTCGTCCGCAGGGCTGTCCGTGGCTGTCCGCAAGGCCGCCGCGGTGCGTGGTGTTCGCGTCCGCGACGTGAATGCTCGCGTTGCGCTGTTCGCGACGAGGGCCGCGCTGTGCGGCTGTGCGCGCTGCCGTGCCTCCTAACCGATCCGTCCCGGCCAGCAGTCGGCCCAACTCTGGCGCGCCGCGCCGCAGCGCCGGCTGCCTGCCCACCGACCGGCACGGCGTAGTGGCGCGGCGTAGCGTAGGGGTGGGGGAGGCAGGACCATTTGACGCTCGTTCACTCACGCGCAGGATCACCCAAACAAACACACAACTTGATATACGCCATTAATGTGTGGCGCAGACTAATCGCTTTCTTCTAAATCTCAAATCGCGACGTAGAATCGACTCCTCGGAAAGCGGCGAGTCGTTTTGCTCCATCCCAGCCCCCCATTGCAAACCAACCAACCGGCGGGCGGGACACCCCGTCCCACTTGGCTATCATCTGCTTCCATCCATCACCGGGAATGAAAGAGAGCCGAAAATAAAATTACCACCAAACAGAAACGGGAAACCGCTGCCTTTCAGCGCGATGCCGGGCCACAGCAGATGGCACGCCCAACTCGAAACTGAATATCCGGCGCGGCGCCGCGCGGAGCACAAGGTTGATTCTCCAGGTCGCTTTTCTTTTCTGGAGGCCACGGCCACGGCATGGCGCCGTGGTCGCCGGGTGACAATCATCATGTCGGGCACGAACCCGACAAAGGGGCCTAGTCCTCGCCTTTTTACTGCGACTCGAGCCGAGGCCGGGCTAGGCCGGGCCCGGCGAGAAAGAAATCTCGTTTCATTCGTCGTGCCGCCGTTTGGTTCCACGGCCTGCCGCGCTGCCGCGCTGCCATGACCTATTCGCCCATTCCCCGCCCACAACGCCACCCCAATCGTGCCCTCGAGGCGCCCCTCCCCCCTCCCTTCAGGATGGCCCGACCCCTGTGGCGCCAATCACTCCAGATGCAGATTCAAAACCCTCCGCTGGAAAACCTCTACGATGAAAAACGCCTCTCGATTCGTACATTACGTGGAATGAGTTTCTAACGCAGAGTCGTCTTCTCAGGATACCAAGTAACAAGAAAACAAAATTTCAATGATAAACTTGTTATAGTTTAATGGATAACAAAAATATAGTTTGAGATAGATGAGTAGGTACAGAAAGCGACTTTATGGATCACAAGAATTTCAAAATTCTAGAAAAATTAATTTACATCAATAGATACAATTGCTAAGTAACTCCGCATGTGATTAAGGCACTTGAATCATCCTGCTGTCAATGTAAATCACATGGTATTTTTGCTATTGCTCTAAAAACAGAAAAAAAAGCTAAAAAAATTACCTTTATAATAAAAAAAATCTAGTTGTGGGCCAATAATTTTTTTCCATAAATACTGGGAGATGATTTGACACATAATAAGAAAATTGCTAAAAAGATGAATAATTTATACCAAGTTCACAGGTCCCACAAAGGCACCATCCATGATAGTAATCAGAACTGTGAGAAAAATCTTGATCTTGAAGGCAAATACATATTTTGTCTAGTCAGAACAAGAAAAGAAACAAACTTACAAACCATGATATTCAATTACTCATCCAACCTAAGTCTTTAAAATACCCTAGAGCCATCAACTTTGCCCAATTCTTACACTCCAAAATTAGAACAAAAAGAATGATAATTAACAGCGCAACTAATTGTTAACTTTGAAACAGATAGTTGCAGATCAGTCTTTGGATAGATTTTTCAAAGGCCCCTTGGCAGGGCAAAAGCTCATGACAACTCTTTCCACAACGCATTATAATATCAACGTATTCAGTAACAAAAAGGCATTCCGACATAAAAATTCACTTAGACTTCTTCAAGATCAAATCTATCTTCTTGAGCCGCAAGAAGTGCATCAATATTGTAAAATGCTGCATGAAGGCCGATAAGGGAAACAGATGCACCTGGAAGGAAGATGAATATTTAAGAAAGAAAGGAATTTGCTGCATAACAGAAGAATTTGAATGAAAAACTTAAATTGAACATACCAAACACCCAAAACAGTGCAGCACCAGCTCCAACCAAATAAAAGACTGGAAGGGAGCAGATAGCCACAAGTCCATATTGCTGACCCAGGGGCAAGTCCTTGCCCATGACATTTACTTTCATACCCTCTTTATGGCGGAGGTACAGAAGGTAGCCAGCCCCAGCACTAGCACACACAGCGATGAGCAGGAGAGGTGACGTAATTCTGAAACAGAGACATTGGCCAACGATTATCGAATGAAAAATGTCAGAATACTGCAATACTTTACAATGTGAAAGATAACAATTACTTACAAGCAATAAAGGACCAAACCTATGTACACAAACAGGTAGTTACTTTTGAAGTATTCCACATTAGCAAGGACTCGCTTTGTCAGTCTCGTTAGACTTGGAGGCTTGCGGATATTAGATGTATTGAAAAATGTGGACCATGGCCTGATGTTCTCACGCCTTTGCTGCACCCATTCTTGAACAACAGGTGCTCCAAAGGGAACAGACCCAGGAAACTGTTGAAACATTCTGCAAGGACGAATGACGTTGTCAAATAAAGTCGTTAAAGTTCGTTTGAGTCAATTTTTCCATCCCAATAAAAAAGTTTTTAAAGCAACAAATGAGCTTACTTCAAAGCATTCGCAAATGGGTCCTCTTTTTGAGGTACAAGAGGCGTCATGTCCCCACTAACCCCTATCTCAACTTGAGACATGTTTCAGGGAAACTTTTCACAATACCCTCAGAACACGGTTTGTTGAACTGAAGAAGAACCCTCAGTAATCACTGCAATCTCCTGACAGGTGAGGCCCTTCAGCTACCTGTGTCAACAAACCATATGATAACATGATCACTCGTCGCCACTGGCCACGTAGGTAAAAAGACATTAATTTTGAACTCAATAAATGTACACAACTGATTATTTCGACATATATATTTACTAGTAGGATTGGGTAAGATCCACGACCTGCCATAAGGCAAAATAGAAAATTAGAGCAGAAGAAGTTTTGAACATCTGATAAACAAAGACGCCATTTTGGTCCTCGCCACGCCACGGTCGCCGGAAGCGTCGTCTGCGTCTGTCGTCTGTCGATGAGAAATTAACAAAAACCCACAGCCCAAAAAATCATACAGACTAGACAAGTAAACAAATGGAAATTTAAGGGTTTGACGTTGAAGAAAGTGCACAGAGCCACCCATTATCATTTAGCTTGCTCTAGCTTGGAAATGTCTGTCCTAGCGCGCTCCATCTTTAGCAGACCCATCTGTCAAAAAGTGGTTCGATACAGTGCATCATGCTTATCGAAGAGGTTAAAATACTCTGAGAGAATCGTGAAATTCGTGTCGCAATATAGTTCAAGTGCTACAAGCCCTAATGTGGCTACCCATGAATTGGAGACTGTAGAGGAAAATGAAGTACTGGAGCGGGGAGAGTTACGTTACTATCATGCTGTCATGGAAAGATCCCCGTTGTTCAAGCCCACTATTTTTACTGCCCAAGATCTGCTATCAGTTTTAAAAGAGGCTCCTCCTGATATCTCCTCCTTTCTTGTAAAGACGGACTGGTCTGCAGACACAGCTCCTGATGTGTTGGAAGCGTTCCGCTCAGTGGCAGCGTATTCCATTCAAAATGGAATGAGCATTGTTGATCCAAAGTTTCAGTCCATTTGTGTAGCAATTTCAAGTAATAATCTTTAATTTTTTATGCTGAATTATTTATTGTTTTTAAGAAAAAATATTTTTTACACTGTGTTTATGTACTCTGTTTTTCAGGTCATCTGAGCAAGTTTTCAGATGAAGAGTTGCTTGAATTGGGAAAATGGATCATCAATTGGAGTACTACAACACTTGGTTCCAGTGTGCCACACTACAGAGACTTAATTAAAGCTTTAAATGATTCATGGGTCATGAGATATGGGAATTGGACGAAGTCCAGAGATTTAACAAACATACTGAAAGCTGCCGATATTACTTACTGGATAAGAAATGGAAGTCGTAATTATTTGAGATGTGCGATTTTTCACTCGGCCATGAGATCAGCAAAAGAGTAAGTATAAGAAGCTGCCTCACTAATTTTCTCTTGATTTTGGTAGTCAAAACATCATTCAATTTTTTTTTCTCTCTTGCAACAGGCCACATCACGTGCTTCAACTGGTGTTTTATCTCGCACTGTTAAAGCCCTTGCCATCCAGTTACAAATGTTATGATCTTGAAAAAAAGATTTTTTCATTCAGAAAAAGTTATTCAGTTGCAGAACTGCTTGTTTTTCTCAACTCTATTTTTAGGTCAAAATCTCTATTGCAATACCATCCATTGTTGGAGCATATACTTGTTGAAAGTTTGAAACAGTTTTCCTCGTTGGATGATTATATGCTTGTAACAGTTAGTAAGGTGAGCCAGAAATCGGACTATCAAAATACTTCTACCCAAACATATTTTGTTTAGTAATTTTAACTATGATTATCGATTTGTGACTCTTTTTGTTTGTGTGAATTTTTTCAGAGTTGTGGTGGCGCACCTGAAAGTTTGAAGCCTCTCATTTCAGTGTTTCAACGGAAAGTCTTGTCAAAGATAGACAACTTTAGAATTGAAACAATTATCCACCTCTCATGGATGTGCTGCTCAAACAATATTTTTGAAGAGGACTTTGCTCAGGCTGTGTATGAAAGGGCATTGAAGGATATTGGCATGCTTAGGGTGCGTACTCAATAAAGGCCGTCTTCTTTTCATTTAAAAGAATTAGCAAACTTCCAATACTACAGCACTTTTAAAAAAAAATCTTTATGTTTAGTAAACTTCAGTAATGTTCCTAAATGTTGAACCTTGATTGCAGTGGAAGGAACTATCACGATTGATGGTAATGTTTGTAGAGCATCCTTCACCAAACAGAGATCTTAAACACCTAGGAGAATGTGTCATTGCAGAAATGACTGGACGTAAAGATGTGAAAGAATGGATTGGAAGAAAGGTTTATATTCTGGGTGCTGTGCTACATCGATTTCTCCTATGTGGCCTTTGTCCCCAAGATCTCTTAGATTTGTATCTTAGCTCAGTAAATTCAGAAATTTCAAGTTCAAAAGGTTGTATCATTGTTTATGTCCATTCATTTCTTAATCTGATATTCGAGATGTTTAATTTACAATATTTTTCATTGTCATAATTTTCAGCTTTAACTGCAAAGGAAGCTTTAGCCCTAGATGTTCATTTGGAAGTGTTTCATCCAGAGTATAATGGGATAAGATTGAATTCTGAACTTAGGAAACTAATTTGTGAGGTAAGTGGATACTGTAACTCTTTACGAAACAAAGTTCTTGCAACGGTGTTGTTAAATCAACTTTTTCTTCTATCCAGGAACGTTTTTCATCAAAATCAAGACATTTTCAGAATTCAGATGGATCTATTGGCTTCAGGTCAAATTTCAACTCTGGACCTGCTAAGAGGATGTACTCAGATATCTTAGCTGTAGCTGGATCTGTGAAAGATCATGTTCATTTCAAGCAATTGGTTCCAAGTTTTGGGTATTTAGGTAAACAATCCAATGATAATATGAGCGTTTGACCAATGCAAAGAAATAATGGATGTGTTTTGGTTCCAGACTACTTGCTTCGTCTCAATAAAGATGGCACTTACTTGCCTATTCCTACAGAGATCACAGAATGTGAACCGTGGAAGCTGCCGCTTATACCTATTGAGCACCTAGAAAATGGTGATAAGTTTGTTGCAATGACATTCTTTTCTAGCCAAAAAGAATTTGAGAGAAGAAAAATAGCCAGTCTCCAAAAAGAGAAGACAGAGATATTAAAAAGATTAGGATATATTCATATAGAGGTGAGTGCTGTAGTTGCATTTTCCTGAAATACATCATTGCCCATATATTTTAACGCCATTTTTAAATTTAGGTTGCTACAGAAAATTGGTTTGATGCAACTCCTGAATTTAGACAACGTGGTCTGAAGGACATAATTGCAAATAAACTGTCTGAAAGTAATGCACCATAAACATCACAACGTATTTCCTTTCCACTGCATTTGTAATTAATGTGTGTAAAATTGTGAATTAAAAAGAAAAACCACCTACAATGTAATTTTGTTTAGATAAATTTATAGATTTTAATACACTCCACCTTCATCTAAGTTGTCATCTTCATCCTCCAGGTAGTCTTCCCCATTATCGAAGTAGTTATTAACATAGTCATCATTTTCATCATCCATCTCTTCATCAATGTCCTCATCCTCAACCTCTTCATCAGCCTCAGACTCTGCATTCTTGTTTTCCTCTTTAATGTCCACTTTAGCTCCTTCAGCATCAGCACCATCAGCATCACTTCCCTCTTCCTCTCGTTTTTCCAGCTCCTCCAGCCTACAAATATCAACATCAGAATTATACTTGATCAAACCCCAAATAGGTTTTGAAATAAATAATTTACATTAAGAAATTTTTTACTCTTTACCTGTTAGTAATGTCCTCTGCTTTCTTAAGTACTTTTGCCTTAGTTTTGGCAGCTTTTGAAGGCCTTTTTCTTTTCAGAGGTTTACTTCCATTCTCATGAAGTTCTCTCGGAAGGTAACTCCAGTCATGAACTAACTGTGCTATTGAGCGAGACGCTAAAGCAGCAGTTTGATAGCGGTCTGAAAACCTTTGAATGTCAGACTTGACTATAGTGTGCTGCAGGTATGACGGTGAATCATGGAAGTATTCCACAAAGTCCCTCTTTAGAGCCAGAAGGTATTCACCTGAGAAACAAAACAGCTGTACATAAACAGAATACTTGCATGCACTGCAAAGAAACTGCAATTTATTAATTGATAACACATAAACATTGAGCCAATACAGTTTCTAACACTGAGAAGGGTGTGTTTGGGAACATTGTGGTATGTGGCTGTCAGGCCACCTGCTTAAGATACCCTGCAGTTCTTCGATATCAATTTTATGAATATCCTTAAGGTGTAATCAGCTTGGAATTCAACAAACCTTCGACACCAGTGTCTAGAGGAACTGGTCGGTTTTCTAGTGGAGGATACAACGGTGGTGGCTCATTCACAGCTTCCACTTGCGTTTCATTGCTCTGGCCTGGTGCATTGCCAGTTGTAATGCCCATGCGCTCATTTATCTCCCTGCTGAAAGAGTGGCTTGAGCCACGGCCTCTCCCTCGGCCACCCATCACTCCTGAACAACCTTATCTTTCTTTGAAATTGACTTGGACTCTTCGTCCTCTTCACAGTTTTCTACAAATAAGTCCTGAAATTTAAAATAAAAACAAGGCAATGAAAAAACAACACACAGACACAAGGTGTGAGAACTGTACAATTGAGCAAGGTGAGCAACATACCTTATCGTAAATGACTTTGATAATAAGTGAACAACTGGGACAGGTTGCAATTTCTTCTCCAGCTTCAAGCTCCTCCTACGAAATAAAAACTCTCAATGAATGAAAAAGCAGCTTCTATAATGAAGGGACCCGCGTGTGACAGAGGTTATACGTCTTGACTACCTTGGTGATTTGGAACCTATCCCCACAAGGACACGGGTAATAGTAAGTCTCTTCGTCTTCGTCGTATTCAAAATCCTCGATTTCAACTTCGTCGTGGAATACAGCCATATTAGGAACTCCAATAAAGAGAAATACCGTCCATCATAATAAAAACGTAAACATTCACCATTCACCTTTCAGTGACTGTACGTAACCGCTGCCGCATTATTTACAGTGCCAAAGCCGGAAGCGGACGGTGGCGCTCCCCGGCCGAAACCGAAACTACATGTTGTAAATAGTAAACACTTCTGCTAGACGACTAAACAGACTGATAGACTTTACTGCTGATTCTATGACAAGATGGTCCATTGCGCAGTGCCAAAATGTGAAAATTACTCTGGCATGAAAAAAGAAAAAGAAAGAATTTTAGCGTTTCATCGTATACCTCAAGTGAACTTCAAAAGTGAATGGCTCCTCGAGAGAAGTAAGAAACGTCAGTCTGCTTGGTTAGCGCGAATCAAGAAAAATGGATTGACAGAAACAGAAATTAGCAGGCTTCGGATTTGTTCCGATCACTTCGTTTCGGGTTAGTCTTTATTTTCCTTTTTAATCGATCGATGAGTGTCCCAGTGATTGTGTACTCTTACCCGTTATGTTGACCGCCCAATTCTTCTCCCTTTTTTCCAGGAGCTCCTTCCTCTTTCTTTGCCGATCAACACGTTGATTGGGTGCCATCCTTGAACCTGGGTTATGATGTGGAGGAATCAGATGATTTTGAGACTGGTGACGTGGGCGCTGATTGTCAGTTAACTGAAAGTCAACAGCTCACCAGTCCTACCCAAGTAACAACGGTTCTAAAGCCTTCGAACCACGTATCTCCTCCAAGCAGCTCCATCCCTGCTGCTTCAACTCTTTCGAAGCCTTCCAACCACGTATCTCCTTCAGGTTGCTCAATCTCTGTCGTGTCAACTCCTTTGAAGCCAAATCAGCAAAAAAATCTACCAGGGGGTGCTGGAGGTGTGCCAAGTTTGAAGCGGCGAACCCTGTCAGTTTCTGTCTGTTCTCATGTCTCCTCCGATGTTTTACATAATCTATGTGATACCTCAAACTCTCCACTTGAACTCTCCCCAGTAAAACTAAGTAGAGTTTCTACCCCAAACACTAAATGTTATAAACGGCAGCAGAGGAAAAATGAGTTGTCTGAATCAGAGTGGAGCAGTGATTCCAAGAAATCTGATGTGAGAACTGAACAAAATACTTCATCATTCACTGTAGACACTTCCGAAGAGGAAAGGGTGTGCCTCAAGAAAAAAGATTTTGAAGACCTTGTTGAATACAAACTCAAGTATGAAGAACAATTTGCCAAGTCAAAGAAGCTGAGAGACACTGTGACAGATCTGGAAGTTGACAAACTGGAGTTGCAAGAAAAGTTGAAATCTGCCGAAGAAGCCATGGAGAACATGAAAGGCTTGGTTAGCACAATGAAAGAGGACATAAAGGAAAAGAAAGATGGACAGACTGCTAAGATCAACAAAAACTATCAAGGAATCCTGTTAAGAAGTGAAAAGGAGTTTGAGAAAATCAAGCAAGATGCTATGAAAGCAAATGCTCTTACTTTCAGGAAACTAGAAGTTTTCTCTTCAAGTGATGCTAAAGTTAAATTTTACACAGGTATACGGTCTTATAACTCCTTCAGTTGGACTCTTGAATTAGTTCTCAAGCATGCTTTTAAAGATAAGTTGATGAACAAATGTTTGCTTGAACCTTGGCAAAGCATGCTCATGACTTTAATGAGGTTGCGTCTAGGGTTATTGTTGCAAGATCTAGCATACAGATTTGGTGTGAGTCTAACCACTGCTGGGGGCACTTTTGATGAGTGGCTAGATGCTTTGTATAAAGTAGTGTGTCCTCTTGTGTGTCCCACTTTGATCAATTGGCCACATCGTGAAACATTGCAGGACAAGATGCCTAAAGCATTTCAGTTGGTTTGCAAGAAGTATAGGATTGTAAATACCATTCCTGCTAAATTGTTAAAGTCCAGAAATGGAGATAATGTGACTCAAAATGAAAAAATTTTAAAAGTGGCTTGTGCTTTGACAAACCTGAAACCGAGCATTGCACCATGCCTTGACAATGATCCTTCTTCAGGGTCTGAAGAGGACTTGCAATGAAATCCCTGTGCCTTTTAAGTACTTCGTGTATGTTTCTTCTCTCAGTCAATCTGGATGTGAAATTAGCGTTTGTCATCGACTCTTAGCAACCATTTGTCAGTCAAACTGATCATTGACTTTCCACTATTCATATTTATTTGTGAGATCTACTTTTTTAAAAAATGCTGTGCATATCCAGTGTATTTTTCAGCCATGCCTCAACTTGCACTCAAACTGCCTACTGGTGGGCAAAATGCATACTTATTCTAGTCGCTCACCATGTATCAGGGTTGTTCTTAAATGCCAAAAAGAACAACTTTTCCTATAAATGGTCTCATTACATCTATTGCGAAGTGCTTTTTTTACAGTGTATCAATGTCGAAGTTTTGAGATGAAATTACATTGATAATTATTTCATTTTCGTGCTGTAATAAACTTGAAACAGTCAAGCTGCCTTGTTGCTTTTTTTTTATCCTGTTGTTAGCATGTAAACGTAGACTCGCCCACCCTCTACAGAAATTTGAAAGACCTTTCATCGGCTTGGCAGTAATCCTGTCCGTGAAACATCTGTGTGAGCGTGTGTGTGTGTGTGTGTGTGTGTGTGTGTGTGTGTGTGTCGTGTGCCAGTGTGCCCCTCGCAGCGGATGCGCGCGCTGCCAATTGGGGCTTCGCGCGGCAGCGAGTTGATGCGGATGACGAGCAGGTCGCGGCTACCCCCTCCCCCCTTTTTCCCCCGGTCTGTATTTAGTATGCGGGTATGGTGCGGATCGTCTCTACGCGCAAAGCGGCTGAAACGAGCCGCCTTTTCGTTCCCGCGCTGTCCAGCCGTCCGAGCCGTTCGGCTGGACTTCCCTGCTCGGCCACCTTCCTTGGCTCGACGTCCTCGTTGACGCCTTCCCGGCGGCCCGCGCGGCCTGTCAGGGAAGTCGCGGCGGTCGCGGCAGCGCGGCACGGCCGGGTCGTCTCCCCGCCCCGCCCGTCTTTCCCTTCCCCGCCGTGCCAGCCGCCACGCCCGCCCCGCCGTGCCCCATTGAGGCCATTCGGGTCGCGGTGGTCCTGCCAGTGCAGTCTCCGGCCCGCAGGCCCTAGAGCAGGCCCCAGCCCCAGGTCCACCCAGGTCCCGCCACCACCGCGACGTAGGGTCGCCATGACCCGGTAGTGAACCCGCAGCACCCACCGCCCGCGCCGCCGGACTCTCTAGCGCCTCGAGGTAAGGTGGTGAAGTGCAAACCATCGCTCCGCCAGTCCATGGCCAGTCGGTGCAGCAGTGATATTTGCGACCTGCGACCCCTCGTTCTAAACTTTGCAGTTATAGTACGGCAAGCCGTATTTAAATTATTCCCTTCGCAAGCTACAAACGTACTCCATTCCAATTTTTATTTTCAACGGTTTTCTTGTTACGAATAAAAAGTAAATTTGAAGTAATTTTCTAGAGCTATAAGAGTTAGAAGTCCAGTAGGTAGAAGTTGATAATTTTTAACCAATCCATTTCGTATTAATTGTCTAAACTCTTGAGTGAAACATTCTTGAACGCTGTGGCTGAGGGCGCGAGGGGTCCTTGGTCTTATCGCACTCCTTGCCCACTTTCAGGCGGGCCACACCGTGGGTCTCACCTTCAGCTGGATTCTATATCGGTACATCTAAGGCCCCCGGACATGGCTCCCGCGTGACACCCCCTGTGGGATGCGGGCACTCCTGTGTGACGCGGCTGCAACGGAGTCGTCCAACCAGACTCATTTCGACTCCGGGCTTTTGGATCGCGTGATCGCGACGGAGTCCTCTTACACTTTTCCACGCCCCGCGCGCCGGATGCAAGCACAACCCGCGGTCGCGACATGAAGGTGGCTTTTTGCGGTTCTTCCCCTGCCGCTAGAGGCTGGCCGCCCCGCCCCGCCACGCCCCGCCCCGCCACGCCCCGCCACGCCGCGCGGTGCGGGCGGGAATTGGATGATTGTGGAGTGGGTCCACACGGCCGTAAGTGTGCTGCGCTCCAAGCCGGGCAGCGCGGCGCGGCCTCAGGACGCCGACAGAGCAACGCGACTTGCTGCTGGCAGAATTTTCCGCGAGCCGCGAAGCCGAGACCTTTTCCCGCGAACTGGAGGCGGTGGGGCGTTCGGCGCTCGCACTGGTGGTCACAAACACCGTCTTGCCTGCCTGTTGCAGACTGCGACTGCAGCCCCCACCATGGCGTTGCTGCGCAAGGGCTGCTTCTGCTGCGAGCTGCGGACCTGCGTCCTCGTCCAGGCCTGGACCAGCATGGTCAGTGACAGTGGTGCACCAGTGTCGCCGGGGGAGGGGGGGGAGGGCGCCGTGCGGGCAGGCAACCGCCGGGGTGCGGCGCACTCGCGCGCGGCGGCACTGCCTACCCGCACGGCGCTCTGGCGCGCCCGAACGATCTGACGGGGACCTGGCGGACTTGCCCGCAGCTCATCGCCGTGCTCCACACCGCCTTCGGCCTGCTCGTGCTGGCCCTGATGGCCGACCTCGTCCCCCACGAGCACCTGCCCGAGGAGGTCCGCGTCCGGCTGCGCCCCCCGGCGGTCATGTCGGGCAACAGGAAGGCGGCGGCCGCGGCCGTGCGCGAGATGAAGGTCCAGCAAGGTGGGCGTCACCGCGTCGCTGCCCGGCACCATCCCCGCCCCGACTAACTGTCCGTCTGTTTGTTTTTCCCCCGCAGCCCTGGTCGGCTCCATGGCCTTGATGATGGGCCTCATCAACCTGTCCATCACCATCGCCCTCGTCCTCGGCTGCAGGAAGGCAAGCTTGCTGCTGTCTGGAAGTGAGGCACGGACGCTCTGACGTCGGACCTCACGTTGTTGTTGTTGCCCGCAGGAGAATCGGCGGCTGCTGGTGCCTGCTCTCATCTGGGGCGCGGCCGGCCTCGTGTTCATCACCGTCATGACCATCGTCACCCTCGTGGCCACGCCGGCCAAGGTGGCCGCCCTGGTCGCCGTCAGCGGCGTGCCCTTGCTGGGTAAGCCCTTGGTGGCGCTAGGCCGAGTGGCTTCCAGTCCTTTCCGGTTCCCATGGTGACCGTGGGGCGCCGCGAAGACCCCAGCGCGCGGAGTATGTCCATGTGGGGCCACGCGGCCGGAGGACGACGGACATACCCCATGCGTGAGGGTGGCATCGCCCCAATTAGTTCACACCCAGCCAGCCACATCGATGCGGTGTATACCCCCTGACGCTCTGACGATTGTGTGTATGTTGCAGTGCTGTCCGTGTACTTCTGGCTGCACATCCTGAGCTACTACCTGGAGCTGCGCGAGGAGGACCGGGAGCTCAAGAGGCAGACGCTGTGACGCGACGAGGCGCCGGCTCACCGCGAGTCCGGCCGCGAGGACGGCGAGAAGCAAGACTGCCCGCCCTCCACGGCGGGCCCGGACGGCCCGGACAGCCTGGACCGGGGTCGGCTCCCTACCCCCGGCCTCTACCTGGGCCTCTACCCGGGGAGCTACAGTTACCCGGGCGGCTACCCGGGCCTCCACTACCTGGGCCGCTACCCGGGCCGGTGTCCAGGCCGCCCCCTCGGCCCTTACCCGCAGCGTTACCCGCAGCGTCACCCGCAGCGTCACCCGGGACGCCAAGCGAGGCCTCAGCCAGGCCTCCCGCCAGCCGTGCGTGACAAGTGTAAACACGGACTGAGTCTCGGTGGCTCGCGGAACCTTTGAGTGACTTTTGGCCCTTGTCATGATATAGTGGAAAAGCATCTCTCTATTTCTCTCTCTCTGTGAATCGGATTGACTTGAGCATTTATCCTTTTGCTCTTCTGCTCAGGAAGAGTTCACAGCACCCTGCCGTACCGTTTTGGATATAGTAATTATTTTTCTGTGTTCTTAATCTCCTCAATTTTACGACCAATATTTCTTGTAATAAAAGACTCATGATCTGAAAGCACGTTTTATTTTGCCTTTCGTTTCTCCCGGTTGATAATCTCAGTCACATTTCGCGAACGATGACCGACGAGGAATATGGGCCGCAAAAAAAATCAGCAAACATAAAAAAATTGTTGCGGAAAATACTATACTAACAGGGTAGCATACGAGGTCGACGAGGACGAGGGTCGCGTTTTGTCTCGCTGGCGCCCGCTCCGCCTGCTAGAGTGCATTACACGTCGTTGTCCTTTTCCCTTTGCCACCCCGGCTGATGGAGCCGCCAGATTGATGCCCGGCCGGCCCGGTATGGCAGGCCGACTCCGAAAGAAGAGCATTCGTCTCTCTCGCACTCGTGGGCGCTCCGCAGCGCTTCGCAGCGTTCCGCGGTGGTGCGAGAGAGACGGCGTCCGGAAGCGGCCTGCTGGCGGGCTGGCCTGGCCTGGCGGGCAGGGCTTTGTCCTCCCCTCGCGGGGCCGCCCGGCCCACGTGCCCGCCCCACCCCGAGTAGCGTGGTGGTGACTGACTACCCAGGCCAATGACGGCTCATGGCTCATGGAAAGCCGGGGCGCCATGGCGGCCCATGGCGGCCCATGGCAGCCCGGCCGCAGTCAGGAAGCGGCGTGCCAGAGGCCCACAGCGCCACAGCGCGCCACCGCTCGGGAGCGGACCGCCTCCTCCGAAGCCCCGCCCGGCTCTCCGCCGACTCCAGTACAAGTGCGAGGATGACGTGACCGTCGCCTGCACTGCGGGCTTGCCGACTCCGCCCGTCATGTGGCCCGGGGGCGACGGTGGGCGGCGAACGGCCTTGAGGCCAGCCTTGAGGCCAGCGAGGCCACCGGCCAGCACTCCGGCAAGGCCACAACACCACGCAGCAGCATGAGCGTCGCCCAGGGCTCGACGCCGTCGGCGCGGCCCCGTACCCTCCAGGACAGTCGCCTGGCTGGCCTGGACAACCTCCTGGACAGTCGCCGGGCTCCACGCCCGGACAACCGCCTCGAGAACCGACGGGGAAACCACCTGGACAAGTACTTACCCAGCGCGGACAGCCGCCAGGACAACCAACGGGCGAACCGGCCGCAGGACAACCGCTCCGAAATTCGCCAGGAAAGCCATCCAGGCAACCGTGAGGACAAAAGCCGGGAAAAACGCCAAGATTATCGACTGGAAAATCGAAAGGATAATCGCCTTGAAAACGGCCCAGATAATCGCCTGGAAAACCGCCAGGAAAATCGACAGGAGAACCACCAGGGCAATCGCCTAGAAAACCACCAGGATACTCGGCTGGTTAGTCACCCGGAGAGCCATCGGGATGACCGTCAGGAACACAGCCATAAAAACCGCCAAGACAATCTCTCCGACGACCTTCATCGAAATCGCCCAGACAACCGTCCGGAAAATCTCAGGGTCAACCGGCAGGAAAACCCTCCGGTGGACGTCCAGGAAAATCGCGCTGCAAATCGTCCAGACAACGATCGCGTCAACCGCCAGGACAACCGTCAAGAAAACAACATCTCGAGCAACAACCGAATCAATCGCCAAGAAGTTCGCCCGGACAATCACCAGGATGTCCGCCGGGATGATGGCCAAGATGTCCGCCAGGACAACCGCCACGAAAACCGTCCCGTTGTTCGCCATGAAAACCGTCCCGATGTTCGCCATGAAAATCGTCCCGATGTTCGCCATGAAAATCGTCCCGTTGTCCGCCACGAAAACCGTCCCGATGTTCGCCAGGAAAATCGTCCCGATGTTCGCCCTGAAAACCGTCCCGATGTTCGCCAGGAAAACCGTCCCGATGTTCGCCATGAAAATCGTCCCGATGTTCACCAGGAAAATCGTCCCGATGTTCGCCATGAAAACCGTCCCGATGTTCGCCATGAAAATCGTCCCGATGTTCGCCAGGAAACCCGTCCCGATGTTCGCCAAGAAACCCGCCAGCACATCCGCCAGGAGAGCCGACAAGAAAACCGCTTGGAAAAGATTCAAGAAGACAGCCAGGACAACAGCCTCGACAGCCCCCAGGACGCGCGCAAGAAGAGGACTCCGGACGACCGGCGGGCCGCCCCGAAGGGCCTCGACCAGGCCAGTCCGCTGGGGAGCCACCTCGGCAGCACCGAGGAACTGGTCACCGTCAGCACGCGGAGGGCCAGGTCAGAGTCCGGTCAGTGTCTAGACGTCGCGTAGCCCCCAGACAAGCCAACTAGTGTGTGCGCGCTGTGCAGGCTCAGGCGGCTGCTGCGCCGCCCGGACAGCAAGCGCCTCCTGGTGGCGGCCGGCGCGCTGGCCGTGCTCGTCCTGCTGCTGGTCATCGCCCTCGTCGTCGTCTCCACCGTGTGTGAGTACGCCAACGGGTCAACGGGCCAAAACGACTGAATCAGTTCGGTTGTGTTGATGGTGTAGGGAATTTTCTCATAATTAGAAGACTTGCTCCGGTTTTGCGCCAAAGGTGCTTCCGATGCACCCTGCAGGTGGCCACCCCCACCATACTCTCTGTCTCGCCGACCGACTTGGAGAATACAGCACACTACACTGTACAGTCCGATGGAGTAAGGGGGTAAGGGGGGAGGGGGAAGGGGGTAGCTTATGATAAGGGGTGTGACACACCGGGCCTCGTTGCCTGCCCCCTCCCCCCTCGCCCTTCTGCACGACTCCACCGCTTTTATACGCGCTGCCATCGATCCTGCATTATTGATTGCGTGGACACTGAGTGGCTCTACGTGTGTGTGTGTGTGTGTGTGTGTGTGTGTGAGCGCGTCCATGGAGCCGGCGCGATGTCGCGCGCCCCGGCGAAGTACTTCCGAAAAAGAAAAGCCTGCGAGAGGAGAGAGGTGGGGGAGGGGGAATCTCACACTGCCGTGCGCTGCCGCCTCCCGCCTGGCTGCCTCTGGGCCTCTGGCTGCTGGAGTGGGCTGGAGTGGTTGCAGCCGGTGAGCACCGGCTGCTGGAGCGACGCGCCGCTTCGCCGGGGGAAAGGGCGGTGGTTGACGCGGCTCAAGTTGATTCGAGTGCAGCGATTCCAGCGCGCGGTGATTTCGAAGCGAAAGGGCTGCTCCTCGACACTGTGAAACACTGCGACACTGTGGCATCGCGCGAGTCGATTTCAGTCCGCGCCACTCGCCCGCACGCCGCCACACCCGCCACCGCCCGCCGCCCGGCTCCGGCTTCCGGTGACAATTAGCAGTGTGCCAGTAATGTGTGTCTTTACGAGCGTTTAGCAGGACAAGAGAAAAAGCGGCCGCGGCTCCCGAGTGACGTCATGAAAGACGTCACCTCTCGGCTGCACGATGATCGGTATTGGAGCGGGGAGGTGGCGACGACATGGCGATGCACACCGGTGATAAGGACGGCCGCAGAAAACGACACTCCAGCGGGGGGCTTTGAACCCGGGCCGCGCGGCGGGGCACACGCAGCCAGAATGTTGGGGGTCATGAGGGCTTGGGCTGCGCCAGGGCTAGGGCTCCAGGGTGGACGAAGGTATAGCCTAGCGCCGCGTCGCCGCGTCGAGGTCACCCAGTGACGTGCCTCGCGGCCTCGCGGCTCGCGCAGGCAATACCAGGGGTGAATTGAAAGAACAAACAAACAACTAACAAACCAGGGAAAAGCGGTTTTGAAAGGGGGCAACAGTTCCTAGAGCCACTTAAAAGGTAGTCAAAAGGCAGCACTTTTCCCCTCTGTAGGTATGCAAAACTCTTTTTGCTTCTTCCTACGGCCGCACCTGGATCCGCCCTGGACTGGCAGGACTCGCGTTGGTCGCGGAGAGATTTTTGCTCTGCGGCCGTCACCCTCGTCGCTGCGAGGGATCCTTGTGGCACACACACTCTTACACAAACACACTCACTCACACACGCCAGGTCGTCGACCCCGCGCTTTTGAAAGGCGGGGATCAAAAGGACGGGGGTAGATGACTCTATGCGGAGCACAATGAGTGTGGGAGTGAGAGGGGGCGAGGAACTCGGCGAGGAAGCAAGGACGCGCCGCGCGCCTCGCCGTGATGGGGCTCAAGCAGCAAAGCCACAACTTTCGAAACTTATTCATTTTCTCGCTTCTAGTGCTGCCGTTTTTTGTTCCAGATTACGCCAAGTACAGAATGTGGAGCAGCGAAGAGTGCCGCAGCGACCAGTGCATACAGTCAGGCAAGCGCATTCGATTCTTGGTTTTCATCCAGAAATGAACAGCGAAAGTTTGTTTTCTTTTTGTGGTGTGCCACCGCGCACACGCCATACATAAGCTAGCCCGGCGCGCAAATGCGCGAGGGGCACGGGGCCACGCCACGCCACCGCGGGGCTCGATTGCTTCGCGGGACAGGACACACTGGGGGACAGAGGCTCGGTCAGCTGGCCCGTCCGAAAAAGAAAATAATGATAAAACAAACGTCAATGAAGCGAGATGGCCGGGGCTGATAGCTCTTTCCGATCCTCGTCCTCGTGGCTTGGTTGTGGTTGGCCTGGGCTGCCTGGGCGGCCCTATGGACGGTGTTTGCGTGCAGAAACGCCCTGTGTAAAACCTGCTAATCTTGCCGCAGCTGTCCTCGCGATTCGTATGGACGAAGAGAAAGTGGAGGGGAAGGTTCGGTCAGATGGACGTAAAACCCCAAACAAAAGGGATGCCAATAAAATTCGCGGCCACCCTTAGGCTTGAGAGCGCTCTGATGGCATCCCGAGGCGGCGACCGTACAGCTAGGCTGCTTCCTGCACACACTCCCACGCTGCAGCGTCGCTTACAGTGTACACCGCTCGGGGCCATGGTTCTGAACGCACACTGTGGTGCTACCCATTTGCACAGCTGATCGCGGGGTGACGATTGTGTGGTCGAAACTGTTTGGGCGGTTTTGCCGTTTTGTCTCTGTCCGAGGGGGCGAGGGGCCGGCGTGTAATTGCGTTCATTTAGTGGTGTATCTCCGTGTCGTGCCACCAGTGCCGCGGCGCGGCCAGGCCCATGGCAGGCCGCCAGCGACCTTGACACTGGCAAGCTGGCCCCGACACGGCGGTGCTTTGCCGCTGCTGATATAGGGGGCCAGCGCCCGAGTGACCCGCCAAAAAAGGAGCGTTGTGTTTGGCACGTTTGGCAAGCCGCTCCACTAACCCCTTTTCCGTTGGTGCCGGTGGGCGCGCAGCCGCCATGCTGCTGCAGGGCATCGACCACTCCGTGGACCCCTGCCAGGACTTCTACCGCTACACGTGCGGCCGCTGGCCCCAGGCGCACCCCGTCCAGGACGCGCACATCTACAACTCGTGGTTCCTGGAGCGGCAGGACGCGCAGCAGCGCAGGGTGATCGGTGAGGGCGCGTCGGCACGTCGGCGAGGGGCGTCAAATGAAGGGTCACTGCAAAGCTTCTGGTCGTGCCCGCAGACGTGCTGCAGCTTAACGTGACGGACAAGGACCCCAAGCCGGTCGTCATGATGCACAACTTCTACAAGTCGTGCACGGACACAGGTGAGTGGGTTCGCTCGTTCGCTGGCGGTAGCGCGACGACGCGTGTCTCTCTCTGCATGGCTGCGTTGCTGCATGGCTGCGTTGCTGCCGCAGACCAGCTGGAGCAGCTGGGGCTGGACCCGATGCTGGACCTGCTGGCCAACCTGTCGCTGCCGCGCGGCATGCCCACCAGGGCCACCGCAGAGGGGTGGCCCCTCGCCAAGACGCTGGCCGCCGCGCAGCGCTTCCTCAGCAAGGACATCCTGGTGGAGATCGGCCTGGAGAAGGACGACGCCAAGCCGGACAACGACACGTACATCATCCACGTGAGTGCTCACGTCTCTGCGTCTAAAATCGACCGAATACTAAACAGCTCGTCTTGCAGCTGCTGCCGCCGCAGAACAACAACCCGCTGCCGGAGGTGCCCGGCCTGGTCGGCCTGGTCGGCCTGGTCCCGGAGGACCCGGAGCACCCCCCTGGCGCGGGGCCGACCGCCATCCCCGCGGGGCTGTCCTCCAAGGAGCTGGTGGTGCTGCGGATCTCGTACATGGCCAGGATCATGGCCATCGTGGACGCCGCGGCCCACGAGGACTCCCCGGACTACGAGACCAACACGACCGAGGTGTCGGCGGCGGCGCTCCGCCTGCTGCTGGTGGACTCGCAGCTCAACTCGGTATGGCCATACTCCGCGCTCTGGCGGCTGCTCGGCGAGCACGGAGTATTGACGGCGAGGTCTGCCCCTCAGGCCACGTCGCAGAGCAAGGACCCCGCCGGCGAGAAGCCCCTGCGCACCACATTTCGGCAGCTCACGGAGATGATGGTCAACGCCACCATGCAGCCCGCCGCCACGACCCCGGCCGACGTGGAGTTGCTGTCGCCCTCACCCCCCGCCGCCACCACCTCCGCTCCAGCTGCAACGACCGCAGCCCCCGTCGTGACGACTGCAGCCCCCGTCGAGACGACCCCGGCCCCCGTCGTGACAACTGCAGCACCCGTCGAGACGACCCCGGCCCCCGTGGTGACAACTGCAGCCCCCGTCGAGACGACCCCAGCCCCCGTCGTGACAACTGCAGCCCCCGTCGAGACGACCCCAGCCCCCGCCATGACAACTGCAGCCCCAGTCGAGACGACCCCAGCCCCCGTCGTGACGACTGCAGCAGTCGAGACGACCCCCGCCGCCGCCGAGACGACCCCGGCCCCCGCTGGCACCACAACAGCCGCAGCAGCCGGCACCACCGTCCCCGGCACCACGGCCGCAGCCGCCGAAACAACGGCCCCGGCCGCCGCGCTCGTCGGTAACCTTGCCGCGCGCGCCGACTCCACGGCCTCGGCGGGGGCGGGGGGCACCGTGGCCTCGGCCGCAGCGGCGCCAACAAACTCGCCGGCCGCGCTCAAGGTTTGTTTGAAGACGCGCCGAATTTGGGGATCTTGGTGCGGTAAACGGTACAAGTGCACTCGCAGTGTCGCTCGTCATCGGCTTGCGTCACGTGGGACTCGAGCGAGTCGAGCACGCGGTGACGGTGCCAGTGTGCCACGGCCAAGGCCCTCGCCGTCGCTACCATGGCGGCACTGTGGCGGCACGCGACGCTCGGATTCGCCACCCGCACTGCACATCCACGCCCATTTCGCACAAAATAAGACTTCCCGTTTTCATCCACAGAGCGGTACTTAACGGTACTTAGCCGAGAGTCTGGGGACTTGGCCCGGGAGCATCGTTGAGGCCCCGACCCGAGAGTATTACTTGACGCAACTAAAACGAAAACGTCGCACTGCAGCGGCGCGACTGCCTAGGAGCGCGAGCGAAGCGCGGAGCGGCGCTCGTCGTTGAAATGGGGCAGGCCGAGCACTGTGCACTGTGTTTGTCGATTGCAGATCGACTTCGCTCAATACCTGGAGGTGCTGCTGGAGGGCCTGAACGCCACCATCGACGTGGACAACGACCCCATTCTGGTGTCGGACCCGTCCTACTTCAAGATGCTCGCCGTGGTGCTGTCCCAGTCCAAGCCCGAGACCATTCGTAAGTGGGTCAAACTACGCAAAACGCGGCAGTCATTCAATCACGTGGCGCACGTGGTGGTTTGCTCGAGTCGTGTCTTTTCCAGAGCGGCTGGTGTGGTGGAAGGTGGTGGAGACGGTGTCCCCGCACACGGCCCAGGTCTTCCGCGACATGAAGCACACGCTGTTGTCCACCGTCTACAAGGGCCTGCAGCCCACCTCCAGGCAAGTTCACTCAACTTACAGGGTGGCCAGAAGGGGTTTTATTGCATCAGTGTACCGACAGGGCCGTCGAGGAACAATACAGCGAATGTTGAGCAGAATCCAGGCCGTTTGAGCATCTCTAGTAGGCGTAGCGGCAGCGGCCGTGGCGGTCGCGGAGGTAGCCGGGCGGGCAGTTGGACGGCACCCGGATGAGCTCCTTGACGGCCGTCAGGTGGTCGTCAGACACGGACACCCAGCGCGTGTCCTTGGGGTTGGCGTCGAGGACCTCCGCGGCGCACAGGCAGGCCAGGGCGGCGAGGCCCAGCAGCAGGGCGGCGAGGGCGCGGACCAGAGCCATGGCGTTGTTGTTTTGGAGAGCTGGCGGCAGGCCCGCCGCCCCCTCCTTTATACCCGCGCAGTGTTTGGCCAGCTGTCTTAGTGTTGAAGCGTGCCGACGACGACATTGAAAAGCAACCCGATCAAACATCTCGCAGTCTGGTTCAGATTGCGAAAATTCGGTCGATCTTCCTCTGCAATGACCTTCCCCCTGCTTTGCTGCCTCCAGGACCAAGTTCTGCGTGCGGGCTGTCAAGACCTTCATGCACATGGCCGTGAGCTACCAGATGGCCGTGGCGAACCCGCTCAAGGACACCGCCAACAGGGTGAGCAGGAGCTGGGTGTCAGTTCCCGTGCCGTGGAGGCCGGCGTCAAACAGGGTCCTCTCCGGCTGTGCTAAAAGACAGTCACCAACAGTCCCCAAAGCCAGCGAAAAGGCGGGAGTTTGGAATGGGGCGTTCCGATTGGCTGCGGCCAGGCTGGTGTGCCGCGGCCTTGACGCCTTGCGAGGGCCTTCCGCCGCCGGCGTGCCAGTTGGGTTGCCTACGCGGCGGCGCGGTACCCGGCGTGGCAGTGTGTTCGCGGTGACTCCAAGCCTCGTGCGCAGGTGCGGGAGATGCTGTCCGACATCACGGCCGGCTTCAGCGAGCTGGTGCACGCGGTGCGCTGGATGGACGGCGCCACCAAGGCCGCCACGCTGGACAAGGCGGCCGCCATCAAGGCCTTCATCGGCTACCCCGACTGGCTGCTGGAGGACGGCGAGCTGGAGCGCTTCTACGAGGGCGTCACCATGGACGCCGGCCAGTTCCTGTGGAACATGCTCAACATGAAGGCCAGGGAGGTGAAGGGGCTGCTGGGCGCCATCGCGCCCAAGGACGAGAAGGAGGGCAAGGGCAAGGCCAAGGACCGCTGGGCCACGGACCCGATCGAGGTCAACGCCTTCTACAGCAGGGCCATCAATTCGATTGGTGAGTGAGCCGACGGGGCGCGCGTTCGACTCCCGGCCGAAAAGTGCTTTTCTGTCCGAATGGCGGGCTGGCGGGCGCTTGTTTGAGGTGGTGGTGCATGCTTTCTGCGTAGCTATCCCTGCTGGGATTCTGCAGGTGCCGTTTTACTATCTCGGCCTGGAGTGAGTACCTGGATGACACCGACTGCACCTTGGTCGGCTCGTCAAGTGCCCACAAACAACCACTTCTGTCAGACGAGGCCGTCTTTTTTGTATAACAAAAAACTGTTGTCTTACAGAGCGTTGAACTACGGCGCTATCGGAGCCATCCTCGGACACGAGTTGACGCACGGCTTCGACATCGAAGGTGAGGACTGAGGAAGAAGACAAAAGAAATCGTCGCCAATTTAAACTCGAGTCGATGACGTGTCGATGGAGACTTTTGAGATACAAGACAAAGCCTTCGCTTCTCTTTTTCATATTGGGTTGAAAAACAATCTCAGCTGCGCGAGACTAAGGCAGGCTAGGGCTGGCCAGGGCAGACAGGCAGAAAAATCTGCCGGGGCCTTCGGGTTTGGGACCAGTAACGTCACAAAGTTGGTCAAAGAGTGACTGAATCTCCGAAAGTTGCCGTTTTCCCCTAATAGAAAAGTGAAGTCCCTCTTGAGTCTTTTTTGCCAAGTCCCTCTGTAGTCCTTATTTGAAAACCCTCCGAAGTATCTAGATGGTGCATTTCAGGGATTAGGGATTTCGGGTGAAAAGGGATTTCAAAGGGACTTGAAATCCCTCCGAAGTCTCTTTTGGAGGCAATAGAAAAAGAGGCGGACGGAGTTGAACCCTGGGTCTTCATCTTACTGACAGGAGACGTTATCCACTGCGCTGCCTGCTCTTCGTGGAGGGATCGGGTCAGCCTGCCTACCACTATCTGCCGGAGCTCAGTCAGGCGCAAGGCACTGTCCGTTGCAGTTTTGCGAGGTTGATGGTTGTACTAGGGGGTTTTAAGGGCAGATAAACGCAACGGTGCCCTCCGTTTTCTCCTCAAATGCATATTTACAAGAATAATACGATGATCAATATTCAAATTTGAATAAGACATTGCTTTTTATCATGATAACTTTGACAGTAGGTGACCAGTATTTGGTTTATTCCGATTTCGTTCATACAATGCACACAATCAACTTTACTGAATGAAACTCATTGTGAATTACGAATATGAGTCCATGCAAGTGTCTACACGCATGGTGTTGTGCATACATTTGTCAAAGTATTGAGAGGTCATACGCTTACTTTCAGGGACTTGCGAGAGATTTCACAGACCATCCTGCCAGATCAGGGACTTCGGAGGGACCTGGTCGGGGGAGGGACTTGACAGGGACTAAGTATGGACTTCAAATCTCCTGAAATCCCCGGTGGACTTTGGAGGAACAAAATAGGAGCCATCCAGGGACTTCGTTTTCGCTGATTTTGGGCGGCCACTGCGTCCGATCTAGTTGCGGCCAACGGCCTACCTCGACGCCCTAGTATTCTTAAGACCCTACTCTTTCATGCCCTGTATCGGGAAGACGTTGACCACAACGATTTTGGCTTTGACCGCAACGATTTTTCGACCAAGTTGCTCAAAAAGTGGTCGAATATCGGAAATTTGTTCATTTTGCTGACTTTGGATGGCCACTGTGTCCAATCTAGTCGCCGTAAAAGGCCTCCCTCGACGTCGAAGTATTCTTAAGACCCTACTCTTTCATGTCCTGTATCGGGAAGACGTTGACCACAACGATTTTGGCTTTGACCGCAACGATTTTCCGACCAAGTTGGTCAAAAAGTGGTCGAATATCGGAAATTTGTTCATTTTGCTGACTTTGGATGGCCACTGTGTCCAATCTAGTCGCCGTAAACGGCCTACCTCGACGCCCTAGTATTCTTAAGACCCTACTCTTTCATGCCCTGTATCGGAAAGACGTTGACCACAACGATTTTGGCTTTGACCGCAACGATTTTCCGACCAAGTTGGTCAAAAAGTGGTAAAATCTCGGAAATTTGTTCATTTTGCTGACTTTGGGTGGCCACTGTGTCCAATCTAGACGCCGTAAAAGGCCTCCCTCGACGTCCTAGTATTCTTAAGACCCTACTCTTTCATGCCCTGTATCGGGAAGACGTTGACCACAACGATTTTGGCTTTGACCGCAACGATTTTCCGACCAAGTTGGTCAAAAGTGGTCGAATCTCGGAAATTTGTTCATTTTGCTGACTTTGGGCGGCCACTGTGTCCAATGTAGTTGCCGTAAAAGTCTTCCCTCGACGCCCTAGTATTCTTCATACCCTGTATCGGGAAGGCTATTGACCGCAACTAGTTTGGGAGCGGTAGCCTCACAAAGTTGGTCATGAAGGGTAAAAACATAATGATGATCGGGGGCCTTTTGCGGATCCGCTGGGGCCTTTTGGGGGCCAGTCCGAGCCCGGACTAAGGGAGGCCGGCTGAACGTTGGACTGTTGGCTGTCGGCAGGCAAGGAGTACGACAAGAAGGGCCTCCGGAACTCGTGGTGGCGGCCTGAAGTCACCAAGGATTACAACGACCGCGCGCAGTGCTTCGTCCGGCAGTACGACAAGTACAACGTGTCGTCGGCGCAGAGGGTGAGGCTCCGCGTGCTCCGCGTGAGAGGGTGGCTGGCGGTTTGTCGCTACACTACAAAGCCTCCGCGCCCTTGCAGGTCAACGGTTCCTTCACGCTGGCCGAGAACATCGCGGACAACGGCGGCATCCGGGAGGCGTTCCTGGGGTACCGCCGCTACACGCGGCGCCACGGCGCGGAGCCCGCGCTGCCGGGGCTCAACAAGTACACCCACGAGCAGCTCTTCTTCCTGTCCTTCGCCAACGTGAGTGCAGACCACCCTCCCCCGCGGCCCCCAGCTCGCCACCCTCTTGAACCCCGCCCTGCTGCAGGTGTGGTGCCACAACTCGGACGTGCAGTTCGACGTGATGCAGCTGCGGGACTCGCACAGCCCGGCGCGCTTCAGGGTCATCGGCGCCCTCTCCAACTTCCCCGCGTTCGCGGAGACGTGGCACTGCCCCGCGGCCAGCCCCATGAACCCCGACAGCAAGTGCATCATCTGGTAGGCGGGCGGGTGTGCGCTCCAGTGTTTGTGATAGTAACAAGAAATACTCTATTTATTTACCTTAAACGAATGTTGCTACGTCTATTAAGTATGTACATATACTACACGGAATGAAAATAACACATTCTCTTAGTTTGAACTAGGGTACTTAAAGCTAGAACTCTACAAAATGTACAACACATGTCAAACATCAATAAAGGCATGAGATCTGGACGCCGGAGAGCATCATGTGGACATACTGTCTCGCCCTCACCGTCTTACATCTATGGCACACACGGGCATGATGAGAAATACATCGGACGCCACACACTTCGATGATCAGTCCACGTGGCGTTTCACCATTGACTTGAGGAGAGCATCAGTGTCTTCGCAGTGTTTTTCTCAAGCAGTCTTGGGAAGTAGGAAGAGGGCAGGGTTCAGAGTTTGTAACTGTCCCCCTGGGACACGTCCACCACCGACTCGCTGGAGGACTTCCTCGCGTCCACGTCGGTGACCGTCGTCGTGCTGATGACGAACACGTCGGCGCCGGCCTCCGCGACAGGCTCCTCCAGGGGGGCCTTGACCCTCCCCAGCCACAGGGTGTTGAACTGGTAGTGCTCCTCGATCTCCTGCAGGGACTTGCCGCGCGTCTCCGGCAGGAAGAAGATGGCGAAGACGACGTTGGCCAGCGCGACCGCCGCGAAGAACCACTGGATGCCCACCGGGCCCGTCACCGGGCCGTACTCTGTAAGGGAGGGTTCCACCTTGAAACACGTCACTGTCGCGCGGCTGACGCGGCGCCGTGGGCCAATGGCAGGGACACTCACGCAGGCCGTTCATGAGCGTGGGGTAGAGCTGCAGCGCCGCGAACTCGATGAGGTTGGCGGTGAAGACGGCGAAGGACTGGCCGACGTCGCGCAGCCTGTCCGGGAACAGCTCGGCCGTCATGGTCCAGGGCAGCGTGAGCAGCCCGCAGCACGACATGGACACGTACAGCAGCACCAGCCCCACCGCCACCCAGCCGTCCAGGCCTGCGGAGAGCAGCGTGTAGAGTGCGGACCGAGGGAAAGGGTGCGAGTTTCGCGAGATGAAACAATGGTGACTTGGACTCACCGTTCTCCGGGTAGAGCGTGAAGTAGCCCGACAGCATCATGCAGACCGCCATGCCGAGGGACGCCGTCGTCATGAGCCTCCGGTTGCCCACCTTGCGGATCAGCACCACGGCCAGCACGCCCGTGAACAGGCGCGTCAGCCCCACCAGGATGGCGGCCTGGAAGGGGTCCACCTGGACGCCCATCTCCTGCGAGGCCGATCAGGTATCAGAGCTCTGTGTCTCTCGCACCCTCCCGGAACGCGCCGTGAGTGCGAGAGAGACAGGCCGCGGTGCGCACCTTGAAGAAGGGCGCGGCGTAGAACAGCGTGATGTAGACGCCGCTGAAGTTCTGCGCGAGGAAGATGACGGTGAGCAGCAGCAGGGGCTTGTAGCCCACGGGCTGCGTGAAGAGGTTCAGGATGGCCTGGTACCACGGCATCTCGACGGTGTAGGACTCGCTGCACACCCGTCGCTGCACCAGCCACTCCAGCTGGCGCTCGGGGAGCCGCTCCTGGAGAAGGCCAAGTTGTAGACCCTCGCAAGGCGTCACTCACCGAGGTGCCGGAGGGGCCACTCACCCTGCCCTCCTCCGTGTCGTTACGGCGCGCGTACGCGTGCAGCGAGCGCGCGGCCTCCTCCACACGGCCCTTGGACACCAGCCAGATGGGGCTCTCGTAGCAGGTGACGTGCATCAGCACCAGGACGACGATGGGGGACGCGCCGCTCCACCACGCCGCCGTCCGCCAGTCCGTGATCGCGCCCAGGACGTAGCCCCCCACGATGCCTGCAGCAGACGGTCACGGTCAGTCACAGCACGGCGCCGCCCCGCCCCGCCCCGCGACACTCACCTAGAGACGCCATGGTCGGGTGCGCGCCGTTGAGGGCGCCGCGTAAGTGCGCGGGCGCCACTTCCGTGGAGAACACGACGGCCGCGTTGACGCCGAGGGCTGCAACGGCCAACACAAAGTTAGGCGGGCATTCCAGCGCACGCTTACAGTGTGCACGATTCAAAAGAACGCCCTCTCGTCTTTGCGAAATCACTGGATGGCTACATTCCCAAATGGAAAATGTTGCAATCACTGTTGCAGTTCGGTGAGTGTCCGACATCGTTCTGAACACAATAGTGGCAATATCTCCTTCGCGCGGAGACTTCTTGAGACCATGCAAAAGTAGCACATAGTAAATGTTGCCCACTTGATTGGAGTGGAGGCGGGTTGCTGACGCTCGCAGTGCGTCCTTCGGCGGAAACGATAAGGAATCCGCGGCAAAAAGCAGTGGAGCGGAAGCAACTCACGGTTAGCCAGCCCGGTGAGGATGCGCCCCGCCAGGACCTGCTCGTACGTGGAGGCGGTGGCGACCAGGAACCAGCCGGCGGCGAAGGGCAGCGTGCAGTAGCGGATGGTGTTGACGCGTCCGAAGCGGTTCATCACCACACCGGCCAGCAGCGTGCCCACCGCCATGCACCCCACCATGCTGCTGGCTGCGAACAGGACGTAGGGACTCTTCGTACGACTTCTTTGTGTGCCAAAACAGAAGTAGAACTTCAAGCAAGTTGTTGAATTAATTCAACTTTTTCGCGGCTCATTTACTGCTTTACAAGACAAAGTCATGGTGATTCATTCCGAAAACTCAACCTTCAATTATACTGACGCACTGGGTGGCCTCGAGGCTCAAAACTATCGAAACGACCGTTTCGAGTTTCGAGACGCAGCGGAAGAGGCGGGGAGTAAAGTAATTCTGTAGCAATGAAACATTTCGGGAGCCGGCGGCGGTCATGTGAGCGTGTGTGTGTGCGTGTGTGAGAGAGAGTGTGTGTCTGTCTGTGTGTGTGTGTGTGTGTGTGTGTATGCGTTTCAAGCTTGCTTCACATGTTGCGTGCGGGGCGGGCACTCGCTGTCCGTCCGTCCGTCGGCGCGGCTCAGCTCGCAGCTCAGCCTCCTAGTTCAGGTGCATCTCTGTCGCTCCAGGAGGCCCCGGCGGCGTACGGCGGCGGGCCCAATGGGCGGGCCCGGTCCGGGCGAGAGTGCGAGAGAGACGGCGAGAGAGGGAGTCGGAGTGAGAGGCCACTAATCGCGCGACACGGTGTAATGCTAGTCGCGCGGTACTTGACACTCCACTCGCATGGCGTCGCGCGGCGTGGTCCAGTTCTGGCCTCCGGCCCCTCCGGCTTTCAGGAAGGCGTGGCGGAGACTTACGGCAAGAGGAGCCGCGAAGTGGCACGGCCGGCAAGGCGCCGTGCGGCCGTGCCATGCCCACCCCGCGGCATTCGCGGTGCGCCGTGCGCGGCCACCGAGTCGAAATTGAAACACGAGTTGGTTAGCCTAGATCGGCGTGGTCGTCTCACCTAGCAGCACGCCCTGGTTCAGCGTGATGGGGATCGGGCTGTCGGGCCGCTGCAGCTCGGGGATCAGCGAGGACGAGTACGACAGCGACAGGCCCTCCGGGAAGTTGAACAGCCCGCAGGCCAGGCACGCCATGATCTGCAAACGCGCGTCCAAGCCACGGCGTGGGTTAGGTTCGAGTCCCTTGGCCTCTACCAGGCCTGCTTTGAGTGTGGTGGATGCGTCGCGTACCTGCGGCAGGCAGCATCGCAGGCTTTTGGGCCACACGGGCTCGGGGTACTGCTTGGCGAAGAGCGAGGGGCTGCGCGGCTTGGCGGCCTTGGCGGCTTTGGCGGTGCGCGCCGCGCCGCGCTCCAGGTCGGTCATGGCGGTCGGCGCGGTCGGTCGGGCACGGCGTTGGCGGCGTCCTGGTGCCGGGCGCGCGGGCGGTGGACTGGGGGCTCGCCGTCGCCGCACGCGCCTCGAGGAGGCGCCCTACGTTCACGTTCACTCACGGCCGCGCTTATCAGCACGGGCATCCCCACGCGTGGCGACGCCGTGCCTCCCGGCGCCCCCGGCGTCTAGGGGTCAGCCCCGCGCGGACGCACCGGAAAAGCGCAGGCTGGCCCTGCAGCTGGCCAGGTGTTGACTGGACGTTTTCTCACCGAACCACCAGTGCAGCGAGCAGAGCTGGGTCGTGCGAACACCTGAGCATTCGCGTCAATCGTTGTCTTCCGGTACTCCACCGTATCAAGGGCTGCTAAGGCCAAAGACGGACTCACGCCACCGGCCAGGTCTACATGGGGAGCGAGCTCTGTCTCTCGCCGTGGGGCGCCTCGCGGGGTGCGAGTGCACCGCCGCGGTCGCGCCAATGGGTGTCCGCCACAACTTCATCAGGCTTTCCGTTTACAAAGTCGCGAGCACGCGGGACGCGAATGCGCTCTCTCTCTCTCTCTCTCTCACACACACACTCACGTGGCTCCGCGAGATTGGCCTGGGTGACACAGTCTGATGAAAGAGAGGAGCTGATTCCTAACCAGGACTGCTGTGGTCGCTCTCTCTCTCTCTCTCTCTCTCTCTCTCTCTCTCGCGACGCGCCCCCAGGGATCGCCGCGCGCGAGAGAGACGGAGCGTCGCACGCGCACGCACGGGCACGCGTGTTGCTAGGCGCCATGCGTGCCAGACGGCGCCAAGGGACTTGACGTGGTGGCTGCAGTGACTAGGTAGTGCGAGACGGCAGGTTTTCAGGGGCGGGCCGCCGGCAACGCCGTGGCGAGACTGCCAAGATCAAGCGGTGGTTGCCTCCTACGGGTACACCAGTTTATTCTGAGCCGCCAGCCGCCACGCGAGTTAGTTGGTTGTATTCACGGCACTGCGCTGCGTGTTGCCTGCGCCACGACGCCAGCCCGCGCCGTGCCGCGCCGTGCCGCGCCGTTCTGTTTGCCCGACGGAGGTGTCTTAGTCCGTCTGGCTCCACCGCTCCGCCTCCCTGTTGACAAACTTTACGCGGAAAGTGCCACCGGCGCCACCGGCACGCTGCAGCCTTGCCTCGCGGGAGACCTCGCGAGCAATAGGAAGAATTCGGGACACGAGTAGTTGAGCCTGCGCATCAGACGACGACGATGGGGAGTTTTCCTAACCGGTGCGCCAAACGCGTGCCGGTATTCTGCCGAGGGATCCTCGCTGCTGCAGAGCGCTGTTTTTGCGCACTTCGTCGCTCCGTCTCTCTCGCACTACTCCGACGGGACGGACGCCGCAGGAGCGCAAGAGAGACAGAGGTTCCGAAGGATGCACCCTTGACGGGGGTTTTATACAATCTGCCCACCGCCACACGGTGTTACGGACGACTTCTTGGGGTTAAAATAAAGCTCTGGTGAAAATATCAATTTTTATTCTTAACAAATCACAACCATTTAACATGTATGTGGGGAAAACAATAACAGGGCGAAGCAGCGCAGCAGCGCACGTCCCTAGAACGGAACAGTTTCTTCGATCGGAAAAAACAATCGTCCGGGAAATGCGGAAATGCACTCAGAGAGCTCATGCGTGTCATGATGATGAAGGCGATCGTTTCTCGCAGGAAACGCAATGTCTAAATTAGTAATAAATGCACGTTCCCGGCTGATCACAGATAGGTTTTTGCCGTTTAGACAATAATAATTATTTTTCGAGCAGAATGCCGAGCGGCGGGCAGCAGGCTCCGCGTCCGTCCGACGTATAGGAACTGTGCAAACGCGTCCACAAGTCTGCTGGAATTGCTTCACGTCAGTATTTCGTCTTAGAACAGAGATCAACGTAATGCTCCTCGTCACACCTTTCTCCCGTCGCCGCGATGCAGACTGTTCAGACACTACACTCGAAGGGGCACTCGACGCGGCGCGACCGTGTCAAGTCGACTCACTCGGCCTCCTTGACGTCTGTTCCTGAAACTAAAAAGCACGGTTGCATCAGATAATGCGCCCGAGCCAAAGCTACGCATTTGTTCCAATAAATATTTGTCGCTTGGGACTCTGAGACACGCACGGCAGTAGGGAGCGTGGTCGGCCGTGAGCACGGTGAAGGTCCCCTTGAGGTTGTACAGGTCGGCGTCCAGGCCGAGCGGCAGGCAGTCCTCGCTCTGGCACCACGCCGACGGCGCGGCCGCCAGCGGTGACCTCTTGGAGTGCGCCGCCACTGCCCGGGGAGAGACGGGGCGTCAAGGAACTCAACAAATACTATCCCCAAAGCGCGGGCCGAGAATTTAGCCGACGTTTTCCTCACCTGGAGACGAGTCAGAGGTGATCGAGTCATCCGGGGCACTGGCCGGGAAGTCCCCTGGAGGCGCGAGGAAGAGAGGGAGCGAGGCAGAGAGCAAATTAGCGAAAGGCAAACGAGTCAACACGTAGAGAAATTTGAGCAAGTATTTGAACTCTGCCGAACGTGCTTGATTTCTCTCGGTGCGTCCGCACCACTGTAAAACATCTGCCTGCAAATACCGGTCTTGTCGATGCCGTTGCCGTCGATGGGCCGGACGTCGGCGGCCTTCTCGCGGTCCTTGACGGCGTCCTTGCTCACGCTCTTGTCCTTGACGGCGGCGCTCTTGTTGGCCGCGCCGCCACCGCGACGCCCCTCCGAGGAGAAGACGCTGGCGAGGAAGCTGGGCAGCGGGAAGGAGAAGGCGCTCCCCGCGCTGGCCGTGCTGGGCGCCTCGGTGGTGGGCGCCGGCTTGTCCCCGAACACCCCCGCCAGCAGCCCGCCCAGCCCCCCTGCCGGCGACCACCACGGGCCCTGGCGCGGCCGGGTGGACGGCGTGGCGGCCTCGCTGGCGGCGGGCCTCTTGTCGCTCCTGGGCGAGAAGCACGGCGGATGTTGCAAAGATAGACTTGGCCGATAACCGGCGGGTCATCGTCACCTCGTGCCACTTTGCCAGTTTGCCCGGTCTAGCTCACCTGTCCGCATCCAGGGCGTCCTCGTCGCGGCGGCGGCCCCACATCAGGCAGTCGCTGCGCACGGCCTCCGTGAAGTACTCGATGGCGCGGCGGTGCGAGCAGGACAGCATGTCGCCCAGCACTGCAGGCCGAGCGAGACAGAGCGAGGCGGAGGGATAAGTGTGGGGACCTGTCGGTCTGGACCTCGTCCTCGCCTGGGACCGCGTCCGGGACTCACCGCTGACGGGAAGCGCGGCCAGGTCCATCAGGGACTGCATCGGGGGCAGCTTGGGCACGAAGCAGCCCGGCTGTACCGTGCCCCCGTTCAGGTAGAAGTCGACGTCGCCTAGAGGGAAGGAGAGGAGCGCAAATGAGCGACAATTTCAGGTGATCGCCGCGCCTTTGCCGGTCCCAGCGGCGGCCCGGTGCCTCCGCGGCGATACCCCGCGCGAGCAGCAACGCGCAGCGCGGGGTGTCGCCGCCGCCGCCGCGGTCGGAGAAAGGGAAAGGGAAGGGGAAGCGATAAACAGCTTCGCGTAGCGCACGGCGCACGGCGCACTCGCCGGCCCGGCCAGTCAACTTATCCGCAGGCAAGCTCTTTCTCTTTCTCATCCGCCGAGCCACCTCCTCGCCGGGCTGCCGCCCTGGCCGCCACTCAACATTGTGTCATTCTCACACATTCAACACGAAGCGCTCGGCAGGCGCCTCCTCCATCGGCCTCCTCGGCGTCTCGCCGACTACTAACCAGGACTCGGACCCGACTGCGCCGCCGTCCCTCCGCGCTGCCCCCCCCCCCCCCACCATCACCACCTCCCGCGCCCCTTACCGAAGGGGTGCATGACGCCCAGGCCGAGCGTAGGGATGAAGGGCACGCCGTTGGTGTGCACCACGTCCACGAAGACGGCGTCCCCGGCGGCCACGCGCACCTCGGCGGCCTGGTCCTCGAAGGCGGGCTGGGCCGCGTCCAGCGCTGGAAGCACCACGAACAAAACAAACGCCGCCATCGGAATCACTGAACAGCCGCGCCGCCTTCATTTTTTCCTGTCTGCCTTTCGGAGTCGAATTCCGCGGCGCGGCGGCCTTTGCATGAAGGTGAGTCCACAGTGGACCGCGGTAGTGTCACGGCCAGCAGGCTGATGCCGAACACCGCTTCGCCGCCGTCTCTCTGGAGGTCTCTCTCTCTCTCGCACCGCCGCGGCACTCGCCGAGAGTGCGAGAGAGACGGAGCGACCGGGGGAAGGGAAGGAAGGGCACCGCGGGTTCACATGGGAACACTCGCAGCCGGCGTGCGGTGCCGTGCGGTGCCGTGCGGTGCCGCGTGCCGCCGTGTGCTCCCCGTCCGTCCGCACGGCACATCACAACACGTGGCACCGCACGCGGCACTCGCCTAGGCAAACTGCGGTGCAATTTCGCGTCGTTATGTACATGGCTTCCGTTTCCGGAAGTCTTTTTCCCGAGCCGCACCGGGCTTTTTCAGGCAGCGTCCTCCAAATCGCGGGTGGCGGGGTGTATTACCCTCGCGTTGGCGGTGTGCATACCGGTGATCCTGCCCAGGCGGCCGTTGAGCTGCTTGCCGGCGTACCCGGCCGCGTGCGCGCCCAGGCTGTGGCCGATGACGTGCATGGTGTCCATGGGGACCACGTCCTGCTCGGCGAGCGACTCCGCCAACCTGCAGGAATTCGGACTCGTCTCATGACGGCGGTGGCGGCCGGTGGCGCCGAAAGGGCAGAGAGCGTGCGGTGTTCCGACTGTACCTGGCCAGCTCGGCGCCGACGACTCTGGTGTTGGAGGCTGCCTGGAGGTAGTTCCGAGAGGCCTGCGCCCCGGACGCCCAGTCCACCAGGACCACGTTGGACTCCATCTGGGAAGCAGAGTCGGCAGAATATTATTGGAGCTCGCGAGAGAACGTCGATCAGGGCCGTTGCGGTCGCGGGTCGCTTTGTCCCTACCCGCTCCAGGAGGGCGTCCTTGAGGTCTTGAACCCAGGCGTTTGTGGTTTTGTCGTTGAAGCCGTGCACCACGAAGAAGGTCCTGACATCCTGGAGAAGGGCGGTGGCGTTGGCGACCGTGTCGTTGTTGGTGACGGCCAGCGCGATGGGCTCGGCGGACGACGTGTTCCTGGTGTACAGGAAGAACCTCGTCTGCACCTCCTCGGGGGCGTTCATGCGCGGCAGCGGCCGCTTGGAGGACGACCAGGGCTCCAGCAGGCTGAAGCAGCCCAGCTCGGGGAAGCACACGTGGTCGGCGTCGTCGTCCTGCTTGCCGCCCTTGAACACCTGCAGCACGGTGCCGACGGCCGAGTTGACGGTGGAGCCGACCACGCTGTCCGCCATGGCCTTGCCCCAGCGGCCCACCGCCTTGCCCATCTCGCTGAACGTCCTGCCCGCGCCGCGGACGCGCTCGAGGGCCGTGCTCACGAAGCTGGGCGCCTCCTTCTGCTCCTTGGCCGGCGCCGCGTCCAGCGGCTCGCTCTTGTCGGCGGCCTCCTTGCCCAGCACGTCGGAGGACGCGCCGGCCTGAGCAAACGGAAAGCCGAGTTTTGAGATAAGGAAGTCCACGGAGCGCGAGGCGGCGAGGAGGGCGTGCACGTAGCAAGGGACACACCTCCAGATCCGGGGCCACCGTCGTGGTGGTCGTCGAGGAGGCCCCCGCGCTGCCCGTCAGCTGCCACAGGCTGGAGCGCACGGACTGGAACATGTTGCCAATCTGCAAACGATAAGGACTGCAGTGGCCGGCAAGAAGAATAAGCAGACCCCGCTGAGGACCTCGGTGTCGCACTTACCCTGTCCGAGACCTGCTTGGTGACCTGGCCGAGAGTCGGTGTCCGTGACGGCGTTGCTTCCGAGGTCGTTTCATTCTTGCTCACGGCGTCCGTGAGGTTGCTACAAGCAGAAGGAAGCCGGTGCAGTGGCAGACACTCGGCGACGACGACATGCCCTCCCCCTCCCCACGCACGGGGTCTTCCTACCTCCTGCTGATCCTGGAGACGGCCGTGGTGTCGCGGATGGCGCGCAGCACGCCCCACAGGTCGGGCCAGCCGGACCGGTCGGCGGCGGGGTCGGGCGTCGGCGACGGCAGTCCGAGGCCGTGGCCGACGAGCAGCAGCAGCGTGGCGCCCGCCAGCAGCGTCGCCCTGGACGGCCTGGTCGGCCTGGTCGGCCGCATGCTTCCTGTTGGCCGGGCAGACGGGGAATGCGTGGTGGAGGATGGCGATGTGAGGCGATGCGGCCCGGGCCCCTCCTCCGCCATGGCCGCCGCGTTTTTGCAGCCATGACGTGGAGCCTGGCGGAGCCGGAGCCGCGGCCGCGATTGACTGATTGACTGGCCGCCCTGCCCTCGCAGAACAGGCACTACTTGGCGCGCGTCGCGTTGTTGTCGCCGGCAATTACCGTCTCCGTTTTTGCCCCGGTCCTTGTTTGTCGGCGACGCGGGGGTCAGCGCCTTCGCCGCCTTCGCGGTGCTCTCGTCCGGCCGCCAATCACAGCGCAGCACTGCCGCGGTGCTCCAGAACTCTTGCCGGTGTTTCAGTAGTTTCGGCCGCTGCCGCGGCGTGCGCGTTGCGCCGTTGCGCAGCCCCCGGATAGGCCGGCCTGCATTCCACTACACCTGCCGCGAGTTTGGGGCTTTGGAGGCCCGCCCGGTCCTCGTCCGTCCTCCCGGTTGCACTTCGAGGCGTGGCCGCGCGTCGCGGCGCGTCGTGTCCCCTTCCGCCCCTTTCGTGCTTTCGTGTCCCGTGCTGTCATCACGGCAAGGTCGCGGGGCGGGGCGGGGCGGGGCGCGGCTAGGAGCACGGCGCGCGCCTCTGGAGACAGACACGCACGCCGGCGGCGGCAACGCGTCGCGGCGTCGCCGCTTAGTCGTGTAATGTCTGTCACCCACGCAGCGGCGCCGCGACGCAGCGGTAATGAGAAAGTGACGAGAGGCTTTTCGACACGCCGGTGCAGCATTTCGGCAGCAGCGTTCGAGCGGCCCGGGCGGAGCGAGGCGGGGCGGGGCGGGGCAGCATTTTGCTTCAACTTGGGCGGCGCGGTGCGTCGACGCGGTGGTCCCGTTGTCGAGAAATGGGGTAAGAGTCGTTCACATATTCCGTAACGCCTTCTTCTTGTCTCCCTCGCACGTATCATTGGCTAGCCAGTCCATGAGGAGCGACAAGGATGGATGCTGTGACACCGCGACGAGACGTATGCGTGCAAGTCCCTTATCACGGACCACCGCGTTGACCCGGTTGCCCCGTGCCGCTTGGCCTTGGCGCCTTGGCCGGCATCATTCCCAACGACATTCGTAACTAGCGCGTCTTTGCAAAATAAGTCACGTTTGAGTCTGAGCCACGGCTAGGTCTAGGCCGTGCTTCGGCCATCCGTATCCGATCCGGCATCTCCGTTTTCCGTCCACAGACCGCACCGCGACGGGCGCGACGGGGATGGAAGGGCGGGGAGGGGGCGACCGCGAGCCTGCGGGGCAGCCAGCGCAGCCGGGCCAGCGGGCCACCTTCTTGACCTTGGCGGGCACGGCCGGCCGGGCAGTCGGACCGCTCGGCCCGTCGGCCCGGTCCAGACGCCTCGCGGGCCGCGCTCCAAAGTTTGAGAGTGTGAACGCGGCGACGATGACGCTCACCGTTAAGCAGGCTGCACCGGGAAGAGCGATGCGTTTGGGGCGACGGCCATGGCGCGGCCTGGGAGGCCCACTGCCGCGACTGCAGCGTGCAACGCCAGCAACGGTGCCGCGCTCGCGCCGCATGCTCTGCGTCCCTCCGTTCGGCCGTTCACAGTGGCGCCACGCGGGCCACGCGTTTACTGCCCACTCCAAGGAGTGCAAGGCGGTTAACGGCCCGGGGCGCCGGCGGTAGGGCGCACTGCCTGCCTTGCCTACACTACACTAGACACGCAGTGCACCTGCGCGGCCCGTGCTTGCAACGTCGCGGCGGCGAGGCCCGGCGAGGCGGCCAAGTGCACCGCGGTGGCCGCCGTTACTTTGTCCTGCGTTGTTTGCGCCCCGCTTTGATAGCATTGTGTGCGTCGTGGTCGCGGCCCGTCGTGGCGACACCGGCCTGCCCGGCACGGCAGCACCGCGGCACCGCGGCACCGCCCTCCGCGGCAACCTCGCCCACGGCGGCCTGCATGTAGGAGACGCCAATTTTCGCGTCCATAACTTTCGGTTTTTCACACCACTCTGCAGGCTGGAGCCGAACAGTGCTTTCGCCGGTCTGCGTCGCCGTCGCACTCACGGCGCGTCCCGTGTGTCGCTGTCGTTGGAGTGCGAGGGAGACAGAGCGACGACGCTGTTGGCCGCCGCCGCCGCCCTTGGCCGTCGAGAGGCGCTAACCGACGGCGGCGGCGGAAACGCTCTGGCGGTGGCGTTCTCCAGCGCGCTGCACTTTGTCGGCCAGCGACGTAGCGTCATGCACGCCGACAATGGGGCGCTGCGCCGCGCGTGAACCAGTTCACGTCGCGCCGACGACGTGTCGCCCTCGCCCTGGCCCGCCCTGGCCGAGGACAGGCGCGGCCTCCGGGAAAGCAACCTCACGAGCTGCAACCACAAATAATCCGCACTCGCTTCGTCTAACAGTTTTATTTTTCATTTTTATTGCTTTTCCACGACCGTTTCCCGCTTTTATCGTGCGAAGACTTCGGCCGCGCTGTTTTCAGGGACCCGCTTCTGCAGCAAAGGGTACTTTCCTCGTGCGTTCTCTCGCGTTCGTTGTTTGTATTTTTCGAGTGCCGCGGCTCGAGGTGGCACCGTGGTGAGAGGCAAGACATACGGGCATGCCCCCTCCCCCTCTCTCCAGTTCCCACGTCCATGGCCACATGGAGATACCCCGGGCGGTGGCGCGAATCGAAAGGCCTATTTTCAAACGTACAAAACGAAGTCTGCGCTCGCCGGCTATCTGAACGCGCCAACGTCACGGCGCGACGGAAGTTCAATCGGAGTAGTACACTGCTGATAAAATGTCCGAGATATCATCGAAGAACTTCGAGCTTCTTTTTGACAGTGAAGTTCTCGGCGTTCTAGCACGTCGCCAATAAAGTAATCGAGAGCGTTCAATCTCCGTGCTGGCCAGTTTGGCTGCGGAGCTTTCTGCTCATTGCGGATTGCGGTTGGCTCACGAGACACACCTGCAGCTTGCCGTCGCCCGCCGCACCTGTCCGCGCTGCGGTTCTCACTCGCGGCTACCCCGGCGAGGCTCGGTTGGACACTCGGTGTCGGAAACGGGGCTGTCGAGCAGTTCAACGTCCGCGAGCTTCCGCGCGGCTAGGTTCTTCACTGCCGGGCACAGACATTAAGACGGCAGTCAGGCGGAGACTTTGTCCACCGACCGGGCGGAGAATGATCGACGTGTGTCGTACGGGGAATCCTTGGAGGATACGCGTGAGGCCGGTCGGGTGAGTCACGGAAAGACGGTAGCTAGCCGTTGTGCGTCCGTTGACTCACCGCGGCGGCGTCGCGCAGAACCCGTAGCTCGAGACGCACTCGGGGGTCACGCCGGGGATCGGAGCACTGCGTCGGCTCGGGGCGGTCTCGGCACCGCGCGGCCGCGGACTGGCCGAGCACGCCGAGCAGCGCAGCGGGCTGGAGGCTGCGGGCCGCGGCGACGACGGGGACGGCAGCGCGCGAATCCGCGAACCGCGCCGCCGCCACGCGACCGCGACCGCGTGCAGCCGAGGCGTTCCGCGAGTCCAGCTCGATCTAGATCGAGATCTAGATACGGTCACCACGCGCCGCCACGCGCCGCCACCGCGTTCGGTCCAATGCCGCTGTTGTCGTCGTCGGCGACGTCGGCGAGGACGAGGCGGCCGGACCTTCGCGCGCACGTCACGCGCGCCGTGCCGCGCCGCGCAGTGGGCCCCGCCGGCAGCCAATCGACCGCTTGTTTGACTCGGAAAAGAAAGTCGGAAGGAGGATGAACCGCGCGCCGCGGAAGTCCACGCGTCTGCCTGCCTGTCCTTCCACCTGTCTGTCTGTCCGTCCGTCTGTCTGTCTGTACGTCTGTATGCGCGCCAAAGCAAAGAAGTGCAGCGCGGCGACCATTTTGGCGTGTTGACTAATTTAGGCGGCCAATTCGCACCGCTGCCTTTTCCGGGCCACCCTTCCCCGCCCCGCGCGGTGCGTCGGCGTGGGCCAGGCGGTGACGACGCCCTGCAGGCCTGGATCCGCGCCGCACCGCCGCAGCACGCACTGACCTTGGGGGCGTTGTCCGCGACGTGTCCGCGACGTGTCTACGACGGCGTCCTGGCGGCGACTGCGTCTGGCGGTCGTGGACCGCGCGGACAAAGCGGCACGCACCTCGCTGCCCTCGAATCGGACACACTCGCCGTTCGCTTTTACAGTGGCGGTGCCAGGGCGGTGCGCGGTGCGCACTCGAGGCTGATGCGCCTACACTGGCGGTGACAGCGCGGTGACAACCGCGTCGTACCAACAAAAGAACTAATGACGATGCGCCGGCCAAGTGGACCGCGGTGCTGTCGCTGTCTCTCTCGCACTCACTGGGCGTGCCGTCGGGGTGCGAGAGAGACAGGGCGACCGCTCGGAAGCAGCCTGCAGGCGGACCGAGGCGGACAGCAATTGGCGGGCGCCGGTTTATTATCACCCCGGCGGGTCACATCCATCAACGCATCCAGGCCGGAATAATAAACACGAAAAAAGAAAATCTGTGTCGCCGAGAGGCCTGAACGGCGCGCGGGGTATTCTCGCGCCACATCGAAACGGCCCGGTCGGCCGGCCGGGCGGTGGGGCCAATGGGCGCGGTGGGCCGCGGCGAGCGGTGAGGAGGATGCATGCTGTGCCGCTTTGAAGCAAGTTCCTGAACCGCAACTGCGCGCACGCCGCGGGCCTGGCTGGCCTGGCCGGCCGCACCGCACGCCGTCCTTTATCCGTAATTTGGCGTGCACGTCCTGCCGGCCGTCCTGGCCGTGCTCATCAGCGCCGCCACCTTGGCCGTGACCCAGTGGCCCACTTGGTTCGACAGCAGTGACGCACGCCGTGCTTGATGAAGAGGGACTCGAAGCTGGTGGTGCGCTATGGTTCCGGTTCCGCCGCGGCCGCGCGCGCGTCTTCGAACCAACACCAACGTGGCGGCGTGGCTCGGCCCAAGGCTTGGCCGGCCGAAGCAACCGCGCCGTCCCGAGGTGGGGGTCAATGAGTTGCCAGAACCATACAAAGCCACATCGGAGAATGGCACTAGAACATCGAGATAGCCCCGGTTTCGACAGAAAAATGGACGATTTTGGATGTCAAAAGAGATCTAGTTTTGACGTTAAAATGGGCTCGATTCTGACGCTAAAATGACTCGATTGTCATGCTAGAGTGTTGTAGATTTTTGTGAGTTTTTGTTGTAGCTGCCCAGCGAAAGGCGTCACTTGACACCCACGCCCCGCCCCACTTTCCCGCAGGCCATTTTTCGCAATGTTTGCCGCCGCCCGGCGACCGGAGCGCCATGCACTGCGCGAAGCGAACGCCGCCGAAGAACGTCGTCGTCGTGGTCCTCGAGGCCCCTGCCGACTCGGGGGTAGGCAACACGAGTGCACGCGCGTGCGACCCGGGAGTGTTGCCTACCCTCCCGGCGCTCGGCAAGGACACCGGCGGCCGATAGAAATGATCCTGGCGGAAGCCGAAGCAAGCCGACGGGGTCCTGGAGGAAACTATCAGTGCGGATAACGGTGAGGCGACCCCGACTCACCTTGGTGACGACGTGGGGACTGTCTCGGGACGGACGGGCACCGACGAGCCCCCCGCGAGGCTCGGCACACAAAAGCCGAAGCCCAGGACAGCTGCGTCGAGAAAGTGCGAGACGGGACTGACTCACTCACCTGGCTGTCACCACACCGCACCGCCACACCGCCACACACACAGCGCCGCCGCTACCGCCGCCGCCGCGCGGGGCGCTGGGCCATACTGGAGTCGGCTGGACGACGGCGGGACGTCGGGACGTCGGCACGCGGCGCGCGACGCCCTGAAGGAGGCGGTGCCCTGTCTCGGCTGCTTGTCTGGGACGACGCCTTGCCGGCACGCCGGTGCGACTGCGACTCCATGCCAGCGCGCCGCGTGCCGGCCGCGCCGCGCCGGCCTGGAGAAGGGGAGGGGAGGGGAGCCTCGCCTTTGGCGGCTGCATCGCACCGCGACGCACGCCGGCGGCGGCGGGGCAGGGCGAGGCAGGGCGGCGGGCCTCTCCACCTCCTCGACGGCAAGGCGCGTGGCGCGGAGGTAGGCACACCGCGCCCGCCGCTGGATTGCGCAAGCGGCAAACGCACCGCGGCTGCATCGGCGGCGTGGTGACCTGCACCGCGGCGCCGCGGCGCTGCAGGGCAGAAGCCAACGACCGCCGCGACGCCCGCTTGACGCGCCGCTGATTAGCAGTCGCCGAGGAAGATGAGAAATTGAGTCCGCCGCGTCCCGCGTCCCGCGTGCCGCCACGGCAAGGTCGCGTGCCCGCCGTGCCCACCGTGCGGCCGGAGGCAGTCGTGAACCCGCCGGGGAGGCGCCGCCGTCGGCTTCGCGTCCACGCCGTCGTTGGCCGTCACCGCGGTTCGCGTTCACAGGACGCTACACTGCCAGCGCCCGGATCGCCCGGATGGACGGCAATCCGACGCTACTGCCCGCCGGCCAGCCTGCCTGCAGCAAGCCCGGCACCCAGCAACGTGGCGGCGGCAGCCCGGCCCAAGCCCCAAAGCCCGCGGGCCAGGAGCCAGAAGCAGAGCGCCAGTCCATCGCAGGCAGGCCGTGGATGGAATCCCCCCGAAGTTTCAAAACCATCTCCGCACTCCGGGACGACCGGGAGGCACTAGGGGAGCGGCGCACCACCATCGAGGCCCCACCGGGGGCATTGCACGGTTATTCTTCCTCTGTCCGTTTTAATTAGATGGCTGCTGTCAAACGCCGGGGAGGCGAGCGATTGTTGTGGCGGCATCATCGCCCCGCGGTCATGTTATTGTACTTCTCCTTCACCTCGTGGCCGCCGATGCCACCCGAGAGGGCTTTCCAGCATTTTGATTGATCGGTCGAGTTAAAGCCTCGCCAGTCAATAGTCAATCCACTGCCGCCGCTGTCACCGCGCCAAACGGATAGGAAAGGGAATGCCCTCTCCAAAGCGCCGCATCGAGAACCCGCCGCCCTGTTTGTTTGTGTGTCTGTCTCCCTCTGCCTGTGTGTGTGTGCGCGCGCGTGTGTGTGTGTGTGTGTGCGTGTGTGTGTGTCGTGCTGCTCGTTACCCGGCCGTCACGCCGTGACGTCACTCGTGACGGCCTCATCAATCAGGGCCGGTACAGTCGCCGTCAACACCGTCAGCACAGCAGTGCGCGAAGAAGAAGAAGTCAAATTGTGAGAAGGCCGCCATTGTGTACACAGTACTGTCAATCAAGGCCCATAATTGTCACGGCGAGGCGTGAGCACGGCGACGAAGAAAGGGCCTTTGGCTGCCTCGGCTCGGCCGCCGCGTCGCGCCGCGTCGCGCTCGCTCAAGACTCAGAGCCCCGGGTCGTTCTTTATTGATTCATCGCCGTTTCGCGGGGGAGTGCAAACGAGACAGACTCGCCTTTACGGTGGCGTGGCCGAGGCGCGCCGTGGCGGCCGCCATTCACAACAAGTACTTCACCCACTTTCCGCTACTCGCGGTCACGATGGATAAATGTGCGAGTCGCCGGGCTGAGCCGATCGTCGACCCTGGCGGCCCGGCGGCGGTGATACCTCCGGCCGCTGAGACACTACCCGCCGCGCGCGGGGTATCGCCGCATCGCCGCACCGCCGCACCGCGCACTGCGGCAGCGCGGGGTATCTGCGGCGGGCCGCTGTGCCGCGCGCTGCGCTGTGGCGGTGGGGCAGGTCAGGAACGAGGCGCGTGGGCGCGGGCCGAAGGCAAGCGCTGAAGTCCTCGCGCCCAAATTGAACTACAAACGACGGGTTCTGGAGAACGGCTTCGGAACAACAGCCCCTCGACCTCGACGGGGTCTCATAGTCCCGAGCCGGCAGCCCGGCGCGGCCTTGGCCAAGCCTTGGCGAAGCCCCCGAGGAAGGCCCTCCCGCTTGCCGCCCTTCCCTGGAGGCGCCCGCCCCGCAGGGCCCGCAGCCAGCCGTGAAAGCCCCTGTTTTATGTTATAAATTTTGTAATCCCATTAAATTAGCGGCCACGGCCCCGGCAGGCCGCCGCACTGCGTAGCACTGCGTAGCCATGGCCAAGCCTTGCGCACGATTGGCAATAGTTGGGCCGCAAGATGCCTGCGGCAAGGGCCCGCGCGGGGCGGCGGGGAGGGGTGGCCGCCCAAAGTTTAGGCACTGAGACAATGAGTCCGGGCAGTGCGTATCAGAGATGGTGCTGGGAGGCCAACTCCGGGTCAACTCAGCCGCCCGGACGCCGGAGGCTCCCGGAGGCTCCCGAGGCTCCCGGAGGCCTGCAGGGAGGGGCGGAGGGAGGGAGGCACGGGGTTGAGCCGGTGAACCGGCGCCCAGCGCCGCAGAGTTCGTCGCCGCCAAATTTCGGAAGCCGCTCGTCGTCTTGCTACAAGCCCTACAAGCTCTCCGAGCCCTACAAGCCCTCCGAGCCGTGCTGCACAAACGCTGCAAACTGAAGTGCATTCCGTTTCCGGGCGGAGAACACTCGGCCGGTCTTCCGAATCCCGTCGGGAGGTTCGCACGACGATCGGTTTCGTGGTGGCTGCGGGACGGTCCCTCCAGGCACTTAGCAATATTACTGTCAATAGGCGCGCACACGCACTCGCGCCAGCGTGCGCCACCGGGACACAAACGTGGTATTATCTGGCGCTCCCTCGGGAGACGGGCCTGCTGCTAGGTCTCCGTAGCGCGTGCGTGTGTTTGCATGAATGAGTGTGTGTGTGTGTGTGTGTTTGTGCCCTTGTTTGTTTTCAGTAGGTCAGAGTGTCCGTTACCTGCCTCACTTAGGCTAATGACGTTGATCGAGAGCCGGTGTCTCTAGGGCGCGCGTTGAGCAGGTTCAACCCTGAAAGTTGGGGTAGTGCAACTGGTACTCACATGGGTTCGGTTCCTCCTCTCTGCTCCGCAACGCTGTCGAGTGGAGGGCGCAGCAGCAACAACAAAAGCAGCAACGGTACGGCGGGAACGACAGGAGCCGGCCATCCGGTGGCGCTGCGACCGCACTGTTCTGCTGTAACCAGAATAGTCTATTATTCTGCCGCACGACCGAAGGATTGTCACAACCGTCGTCTGATTCGCTTCCTTTTGGCGTCGAAAACACAGCGAGCCCGTCCCGCCGGGCCGTTGCCGCCACCGGGCCGCCGTGCCGTGCCGCGCTGCCTCGCCTCCCTCTGCGGCGGGGCGGGCCGCCTCGGCCTGGCCGTGCTTCGCCGCTTCGCCCTCGCCCCTCAGTCGAGCGTTAGCCGCGCTCGAGGTAGGTCGGCGTCCCCACGCTCGCTGCCGCCCGCCGCCCCGGCTGCCCGTCGTGTCCGCGAACGCGGTCTCGTCGCCGCGCCCCTCCGGCCAGTGCCTCCTCGCCTCGCGACCCTCGCGACCCTCGCGCCGTCGGTGGACCCGCCCGCGCCACCCTCGCTCGGCCGGCGGGCGAACCGCACGGAGAGCTGTTGTTTTCGGCGCGGCCCGCCGTGTTCCGTGCTGTGATTGGTTGGCTGGTTTTCAGCGAAGAAAAGTGTGGTGTTTGTGTGGATTTCGACCTAGTGCGCCGGGGTGAACTCCCTCCGCTCCGCGACCTCCCCGTTCGACGAGGACGTGCCGCCCGTGAACACAGCGTTCGTCGAGTGGCGTGCGGTGCGCGCGTGTCGCGTGCTGCGCGATGATGCCAGGATAGTGCGGCCCTCTCGGCCCCGCTCGCGCGACGGCACGACGCACGGCCGTGACTGGGGACACGCGGCGCCGCGCGGCCCGGCGGATGCAGACCAGGTAAAAATAAATCGCACCGACCTGGCCGCCGGCAGCGACGGCCGGCACTACCACCACACTAGCGGCACCGCGTGAATGTCTCACCGTCGGACGTCCGCACTCTGTCACCCATCAAGCTGGTCAGACGGCCGGAGTTCGCGGTGTGCTGTTGAGCAGGCCGTGCCTCCAACGCGCCGTTCCGAAGAATCCTGCTGCCTCTCTCACGGCCATAACGAGTGCGACAGAGACGGAAGAGCGACGAAAAGACTCTTCGGCATCAGTCTGCAGCCCACGGCCCCTCGGCCGCTCCCACCGAAATTCGTCGATAATGTGTCGGAATAAATGATGCAACTAAACGGAGGGCGGCTGGCCGAGGCTGGCCGAGGCTGGCCGGGCGCGGCGGCGTCAAACTCCGAATTGGCCCATTTGACCGGCTGATCCCGTCGGCCGCACGGCGCGGCTCGAGTGGACGCGTTGGCTGCAGCGTTTCGATGGCAACACGCCCTGTTCGCAGGGCCATTGGGCCGTAGGGCGGGGGACTGAAAGTGTCGCATAGAGAGGCTGCCTGCGCGCGCTTCGTTTCCAGTCAGGGCGGCCTGCAACGGGCTCATCGCATATTTACAACCCCCTTGCAATCCCGCCCGCACTCTCCCTTCCGACACAAGCTCGCGCTCTCTCTCTCCACACGCTCGCACACAGACACGCTCTCTAACTCTCACACACGCGCAAGCCCATTGTTCGCATCCGCGTCCGCACAATGCGAACAGGTACAGGGGGCTCTGCCGCTCTGCGGGGCGCGGAGCGCGGCGACGGCTTCTTTAATGGCACGATGATGCCAAACAACAACAAACACCTGCAGCTGGCAAAATATTTGTGCCGGCTCTCGGCGGCTTTTGTCGCGTTGGGAGGCCGACGCATTATGGCAGCGACGCGTGAGCCTCTATCGCCACCCTTGCAGCACCTTGCAGTGGCGGAGTCGGGATTCGAACCGCCGCCGCATCGGAGGCTAACCTCCCATTCTTGCCGTTGCTGGCGGCGGTGAAGACGGTCGCCTGGCTGCGGGGTCGCGATGCTTCTCGCGCGACTGCCGGCCAGAGCTCTTGGAATGGCGACCGCCCGGCTTCAGCGGACTTCAGTGACCAAAATGTAGACTCTCCCTTCCGAGACAAGAAGACAAGATGGTTATACTCGGCCCAATTCTGCTGCTGTCCGAGTGAGTGCGTGTTCGTTGAGAAACTCGGAGAGGCATTGGGTTGTAGTCGAACCCGAGCCACGTCGGGGCTCCGAGTCCGGGAGTGGTCCCTTCCCCGGCGTGGTCTGGCTGCAGCCGCCCTGGCCGCCCTGGCCGGCCTGCGTGACTGTTGACAGCTAATTTAGGCCAGCGCCACGCGGCGCCACGCGGCGCCACGCCCTTGCGCAGCACGGCTGGGACGACACCGGGGCACTGGAGGGCCTCGCGGGGACGGGCACCGCCACCAAGGCACGGCCAGGGCACGGCCACCACCGGGGAGCCAAAAAATGCAGATGCCGCCGGAATGGAAATCTCCTTTCCGGTTCACCGATAGAGGGTGCATTCTAAGCGGGGCCCGGCCGACCCTGGTTTGCATTCGGAGCAAAATCTGGCCGTTTTCCCGCTTTGCCGGCGTCGGAGGAATTAATCAGCGGAATGGAGCAACAAAGTTTTGGTCCTTCCCTTCGCCAAGCTTCGCCGGCAAGCGGCGCGGTGGGGCCGCGCGGCCGGCGAGGTCGACGACGGCGTCCTTGTTTGGTTTGTTGTTAACGAGTGGACCATTTAGGCAACCCGAGACTGTCTGATTTCCTGTCGAGTCTCAAAGGAAGCTGTCGAAGAACACGAGCTCACCGTTCTCAAGACCGTCCCCAGCTGGCTGTATGAAAAAGATGAAAAATTGCACGCATCGTTTTTTTCCCCACGGCTCGCGCTGAGTTTCTCCCGCTCTCTAACTGCTTGCCCGCTCCGTGATAAATCTCTGATCGCTCGGAGTGTGTTTGGCAAGTTATGCAACCTGTCTGCCTTTGTCGGTATCATTGCCCGCGCCTCGTTTCCGCACAGACAATCCAAACTTTCTCAATACACTGAAGAAGTTTGAGCCTCGAGGCTGTGCCGCCCTGCCGCCCTCTGCGGCCGCGCGCTTCGCCTCGCCGTGCTTGGCCATGCTCGGCGCTGCTCAAACGGCTGCATTTTTAACACGCTGGCGGAGCGAGTTGGCACGCCTCTCAGACATGCAGACTGCCGGCGGGGCGGGGCGGGGCGGGGCGAGTACGCGGACGAGCAGCCGTTTCAATTAGCTCTCCCAAATATTGACCGCATCCGTCAAAGTTGGCTGCTGGCGGGCTGTGTCTTGTTGCTTGCTGCCTGCCTGCCTGCCTCCGGGACGCACGTCGCCCCGCCAATTTCTCGACGCGACGTTCGAGCGAGCTGCGTGCTTCTATCGTGTTCTTGCCGTCAATTCCCCCCGGCGTGTCCAGAATGCAGCGGGATTTCCTCCTCGGCAAGGCCATACGCTCGGAAGTGTTGTCAGTGAAACGCATACACACGGCGACCTGCCACGGAAAGCACTTGTCATACCCCTCCAGGAGGCCCTCCCCGGGGACGGCCAGGTGACACATGGGGGTTTCCTACGGTTTCCTACCCCCCGCCGCCACCGCCGCCACCGCCGTCCCTCGCGACCACTCGAACCGCTCCCTTCGCCTCCACACCGACTCTTGATACTCTACGCACACAAATACACACACACACACACACACACACACACAGACACAGACGCGCGGCGCATGTTTGCCGGTTTGTGTGAATAAAGCCCACTAGCAGTGCGACGACAGGTGAGTGTTTTGTCGAGTCTGCGGGGCGCGGCGCGGCGCGGCGGGGCGCATGTCACTCGGGGGAGCCGAGCCGCCAAGCTAGTGCCAACCCCGGGGCAAGTTTGATGCATGTTGCCACATGGGAACGATTTTGGCGGGCGGGCGCGCCACTGTGTGTGTGTGTGTGTGTGTGTGTGTGGCTAGGGAAAGTGGGGGCACGGGGGGCAAGGATATGGCAGGAGTAGGTCACGGGAAATATATATAACCTGTTCCTCGCTTTTCCTTGCCGCGGTTCCAATCCGAGATTCGTCTCCGGGTTTGGCGGCAAACACGCCGTTTTCCGAATGTGTGCTCTCGGCGGTGGCGGTCTAAAAGAGAAACAAAAAGAATGGGAGGTATGGACGTGTCTGGCTTGCGATGATGCAATGCGAGATATACCTTTACGTGCGACGTACCCGAAATGACATGAAATGTCATTAGTGTTGCCGGCGGTGCAGCGGTTCGTGCGGAGGGCTCAAACTGATGGCGGACTGGCGCGATACCGCACGGAGCGTTTGGGTCGTCGATCGCCCGGTCGTTACATCACGACACTGGCGGACAATTACGAGACATGCGCCAAACTCGATCAACACTCTGAAAAACAAAAAAATAAACACAACGTGACGCTTATGTTAAACCTCGTTCGGGGAACATAAAAATTATTTATGGCCTGACATTTGGAATCATCTCATTACGACTTCTTTTTTGAAGAAAAAGGCAGAAAAAAATCTATTGTTTTTAGTGCGTTTTAAAAAACGCGGAATAATGCCCAATGAAGTTAACCAAAAAAGTGCGGAAATGAGATTGAAAAAATTAAAATTAAAACGCTTGCTCCTACACTGCGCGCACCTTCTTGATATCGCGCAGAACATCGGCGTGTTTTAATTTAGCCGGGCCCTGCAGGCGGGCAGACAGGCAGGCAGGCACCGCCTACTTCCCTTTCCCTCTGGTGTAGTGTCTGGAGAGGCTGCCCTAATTAAGGCATTACTTCTCCTTGGCTGCGCGGCGGAGGGGGGGGGGGTGCGTCGACCGCGGTGCGCACTGTCACACAGTGCAGGGGCTGCAAGGGGGTCGCAGAAAGAAGGGGGCGCCCTGGAGGCCCTGGAGGCCCCCGAGGCCCTCGAGGACGACGATGACGCCGGGGGCACGCGCCATAAGGTGGCTCGGGAACGGGGGCCTCGATGGCGGAGAGGGGGGGTGAGGAGCGCGGCCGGGGGGCGGCGCTGAAATGAGCAGGTGTAGACGCCGACTCGTCAGGCCGGCTAACAAGCCCGTGCCGTTTTAGCGGGGCGGGGCGGGGCGGGGCGCCTCTCTCCACAAGAGCGATCCAAAGTAACGAGCGACGCGCCCCACCACGCCCCGCCACGCCCCACCACGCCCCGCCACGCCCCGCCAACCACTCACCCCGGGACGGGCGTGCGGCGAGGCGAGCGCCGAGCCAAAGTGCGCGCACGCGGTCGCGCGGCGTTTTTATATCGAGAATGCAAATGAGTCGGGGTGCAACAGGCGGCTTATTTTGATACCCTCCTCGGCCGAGTGCGCGTGCGAGTGCGTGTGCGTGTGAGTGTGAGTGTGCGAGTGCGTGTGCGCGTGCGTGTGCGTGCACCGTCGCGTGTTTTTGCACGTGCAGGCCCCCATGAACTACAGCGGCCGTTTGGCGCTCCGTTTTAGCGGGGATGAGGGGGAAAAAGGCGCCGGGGTCGAGATGGGAAACAGATTGTGTGAACTGTCTAAACTGCGCTGTGGGCGTGGCGGGGCGAGGCGGGGCGCCGTGCAAAAACGTGTACAGGGGCCTTTTTCCCCGGGCGGGCTGAGCCAGGCCCGCCCAGGCCCGCGTCGGCCGCGGCGCAAGACTTGTGGTATCCTCGCCCCGCTGGCGCGCATCCAAACGCGCCTGCTTCCTTGAAATATATATTTTCACACGGGAAAAAAATAATAAAAAAAAACAAAATAGAATGATAAAAAATACAAAAAACGTTTCATTGTAAGATTTGGCCATGTTTTCGCTCTCGTGCGCGCATTACCCTATTGTGTTGTCCCGTGCCGCCAAGGGATGGGCTCACGCGCTAGCACGCACACGCGCGCCCCACCCCCAGCACAGACGCACACAGACACAGACACCAGGACAATACCCTCTCACCTCCCCTCCCCTTCCTCCTCACACGCTTGCACACATCAATTACTTTCTGCGGCCATTAACCGCATGGAAATGCACGTCAGCGGGTGAACAGCACTGGGGCCTCCGCGGAGGTACACTGGCTACCTTTGGCTTACCCAAACGGCCGTTAAGGGTCTCCCTTTTTTTGGCCCTTTTCCCCTTCCCTCCCTATTGATGCTATTTATCCATGAGCGGAGTGAAAAATGCAGAATGGCACGGCTGGCCCTCGGCGGTACTCGAACCCGGGCGCGGTGCGTTTTGCCCACTTCCCGTTGTGTTGGCTGCCGCTTCTGCTGACCCGGCTTGCCGGCCGGCTGAAACTTGGCGAAGCTCCCCCAATCGGCGTGTAGCGCTGCTAGCGCGCGGCGGAGGCTCGGCGGCTCGTCATAAACAACAACAAGTTGACCAAACTTGCTCCTCTTTCCAAGTTTCGTCCCACCTGAGTGTCGGAGCGCGAATTGGAGCGCGGAAACAATTACGGCGCGCAAAGATAATGAATGTTGGCTGCCGCGTGCTGGCGCGTGCTGCCGCGCTGACCGGCCCACAACAAGTGCGCCAAGTTGGCTTGCCGTGCAACGCCGCGCCGCCGCCGCCGAGTTGCAGCCACGCAGTGTGTTTACTCGGCGAATTACTTGGCCGGAATAATAATTAATTTGAAGGGCGCCGCCGCGGTTTAGCAATTCCCGGCAGCGCTGCGGCGCCGAGGCGGGCAAGACGCGGGGCAAGTGCTAATTTCGCAGAAATAATCCGAGGAAAAAAAATTTAACTGTCAAGTTTTGGGGTGTCCGTAAAGCGGCGTCAACGCGCACAACGACAAATTGAGGGCATTAAATTTGCGACTTTTTGTCGTCCGGCACGCTCGCCGTTTAAGTGATTTGGAAACGTTGACGCCGAAAGCTGGAACGACCTTTGCAAAGAGCCGGTCCCATTTTGTGGCGGGTTGCTTGGTTGTTGACCGAGCGCAGTGCTGGCTTAATGACCGGCCCTGGCTGCTGTGTCCTCGGCAAAAACACACGCTGGCCGCCCCGCCCCGCCCCGCCCCGCCAGCCATATAAGCGGCCGGGATGCGTGCAGGGAAAGGGGAGGGCTAGCGGCGCTAGCGGTTGCCGTTCCCTTGACCAGACCGCACCGCGCGGATTCGAAGGGCCGCCGCTCCACCGCTCGGCCCCCCACGGCCCTCCACGGCCCAACTCGGCCCACCTCGGCAGGGCTCGACTAACGAGTCCGTGTGCAACATCATGTTCTGCGTGAGCCTCTCTTCGCAGCGCCCTGGCCCTGATTCCGAACCCTGCTTTCCTCGCTCTGTCTCTCGCACCGGTGGGGGGGCGCTCCCAAGCGGGTGCGAGCGAGAGGACAGACTGAACGCGCATGGTGCTCCCCCTCCCACTGTCTCCCCGCCCGCACAATCGGATCCATGTTTGCGTTATAATTAACTGGGCCGTTTGAGGGCGGCTCAAGGCATTTGTACTACGTTCGGCGTGCGGATGTGTGTGTGTGTGTGTGCGTGTGCGTGTGTGTGTATGTATGTTCTCACCGCCTTCGTCTTGTGTCTGATTGCAGCGGGAGCCCGTTCTGGCCGTGATGCGCTGTTGAGGTGAGTTCCTAGTTCACGACGATAGCTACTTCCACTTTGTTTTTCTGTGTCACTCTCTCCTTCCTTCTCGTGCCGTGCCTGTCGTACAACTGCAAGAAAAAGACCTCGCGCTGGCGGTGGCGGCGGTGGTTTAGACAAAACCCTCTCTCTTTCCCCAAGCCCCGTCGTGTGGGAGGGAGAGGGAGAGGGCGGAAATGAACGTGACTGATGGTCTTCTCCCGCACCTTCGATTTACGGGGCTGATGGGAACACGGCTTGGGAGAGCTCCCGGAACACGGCGGAGGGAGGGCTGGAGAGAGAGAGAGAGAGAGAGAGAGAGAGAGAGAGAGAGAGAGAGAGAGAGAGAGAGAGAGAGAGAGAGAGAGAGAGAGAGAGAGAGCAGAGAGAAAGGTGAAGAGGCCCCGGGGCCCTCCGGCGAGGCGGCGGGGCTGCGGGGGCGGCGACGCGAGATGAGTAGAGGGGAGGGGCGCCAGGCGACTTGCACCGGGCGAGGGGCGGGCGGCCCGAGAAAAATGTGCGCCAGCAGGCTGATTCCGAGTGGGGGTGTCCCCGGCAGTCTGTCTCTCTCGCACCCGCGCGGGACGCGTCTCAGTGCGAGAGAGAGAGAACCACGGCAAGATTGAGGTGGGAACGCGTGGTCGCGGCCAGCGCCTCCTCCTTTTCCCTCTCGGCGACCTCGGCGAGGTGCAGGCCGTGCCGTGCCGCGCCGTGCCGCGCCGCGCCGTGCCGCGCCGCGCGGTGGCGGTGGAGACGCGGCGCCGGGCCGAGGCGCGACATTTCTCTCTTGGATTAGGGAGATTATTCTTGGAGGAAACCGGGGACCGCCGGGCCCAGGCCGGGCCGGGGACGTGGCCGTCGCCGTCGGGGGGCTGCCTTGCCGGCCTTGCCTGCCGCCGGAGCGCCGCTCTGCTGGATCGGGTGGATCACACGGCCGGGCTGGCGCGGCGGAGCCGTCCTGCCGCCGAGAAGTACCTCTGTCTGTCCGGCGGGACGCGGGCGGCGCCAGGCTACGCCAGTCCAGGCCAGGCGAGCCCTCTCGGAGCACAAACGGCGCAAATTACGAATTCCCTCTCCGTTGCTCCTCCGCGTCGTCCGCACCCCGCCCCGCCCCGCCCCGCCTCCCGGAACCCTTCACCTCACCTGGCATTCTCTTGCCTTTATTCGCACCGTCAAAGGACGCGGGGCTGAGGCCAGGCGCCGCCAGGCCCAGCGGTGCATCAGGGCGGCGCGTTCGAGGCCCTGCAGGCCGAGCCCGAGAACGCCTCGAAGGGGGCGCCGTCTCCCTCGCAGCCCGCGGTGCGGCCCTGAGTGCGAGAGAGACAGCGCGCAGCGTGGCAGGGCGGGGGAATGACTGAAGGCACCTTGCCTTGCTTCGCATCGCGGAGCGGGCGGGGCGGGGCGGGGCGGAGCGTGCACCGCGGCCCTCGAGTGGGTCGGCCGGGTCGGCCGGGTCGGCAGGGAAGGGCCAAGGGCAGGCAAGGGCGAGGCGAAAAGGGCACAAAAGGGTCGGCAGGTCGCGGCCCCCTGACGGGTGAGTGTGTGGCGGAGAGAAAGGGTCGCAGGGCGGCCAGGACCGGGGCGGCTGGGCCGAGGGCGCCGAGGGCCGGGCGGCGGGGCAGCTCTCACGGTCGATGGAGCAGAAGCCTGCAGCTGTGCAGCTGCTCGATGGTGCTCGCCCAAGGGGCGCAGAAAGAGAGAGAAGAGGCTTATTTTGCGTATTCACTCGAAATGGATTGGCGGTAATACCCGGCCGCGCCCTATGCCGGCGGTCATTTTTGTGTTTCCTCTCTTGGGGTTCGCAGTGCGGATGATGAGATGGACAAGTCCGAACTCCGCAGGCGGCGACACGGAGACGCCCCGCCCCGCCCCGCCCCGCCCCGCCCCGCCCCTTCGAGCGAGTCGCGTAGGCAAGAAGGAGGGCAAGTTCGGGCCAAGCCAGGCCAAGCCCTGGGGGCTGCAGGTGGGAACCTCCCCGCCGGACTACCACTGTAACGAGCGCCCACTCGAACGAGTTTCTAGTTGTTTTTGTTGTTGGCGACACAGTGGAAGGGCGGGGGAGTTGCCGTGCCACTCCGAAGAAGCAAGGCGAGCCCAGCAGCCGAGCAGTGGGCCAGGATGTCGCCAAGGGGTCTTTCTTATTCCAACCTCTACCGGGGACGGCGGAGACGGCGGGGACGGCGGGGACGGCGGGGACCTCGGCGCTGGCTGGCACAACAGCGGCTCTGGGAAGACGAAGCTGGTAGTGCCTGCACCGTGTCTAGTGCGGTCTAGAGTGGTCTAGCGCAGTCCACCGCATTCTAGCGCATCGCGGCAACAACCTCATTACAAACTAGAGCCGCGGCCGCCCCCTCCCCTCCCCCCGTCCGAGGAGAGCCTCCTCTTGGTGTCGCCCTCGACGCCGTCGTCCGGCGCCCGCGAGAGGGTTCCGGTGAAAGCTGCTTTATTTGCCTTGCTCCGTTTACGGACGCTCCCCCTGCCGAGGTGCTGGGGGGTCATTGCCTCCCTGCGGCCCGAAAGGCAGCCAAGGCGGCCGCGGCGGCCACGGGGTGCCCATCGGGAGGCCGTTGCAGGCCTCTCTTTGCTGCCGTTTTTACTGCTGCCTGCCTGCCTGCCTGCCTGCCTGGCCTGGCGGGGTGGGTGGCCGTCCCCGCCCTGCCCTACAGTGTGCATACTTCAGCAGCCCACGTGGGCCGCGCGGTCCCGCACAGCCTCTTTTACGGTGCAGTAAGACGGCCTGCCGGCTCTTGTTGTTGTTGAGGCTGCTTTTACATCGGCCTCCCCACGCCGTTACTCGCCTGTGTTGTTGTTTCCAGATGGATGTGGAATTTTTTATGCCGTTGTTTCTGTTTCGCTGTTGCTCGGCTGGTCGATGGCCAGGCAAAGTAGGCGACCGTCTTGCAGGGCGTATCGCGTTGGCGGACGTCCGCAGTGGGCACGTCGCTCTGGCTGCGCCGTGTTGTCGTCAGAGTTTGCACTCATTTCTCTTTGATGGCTATGGATTTCCACTTGCGTTGATCACAGTTCTCAGTGCAGGAATAGAAGTGGAGGGGGGGGGGGGGGGCTGCGTGGTGGGCGGACTGCGAAGGGGGTCGGCAGCGTCCTCGCGATGGAAAAGGAAGCCCCGAGGATTAGGGGGTTCGTTTTGACACTGACGCGGCGGCCGCCCCTGCGCTGTAAATGAGGCACCCGAGAGAAACACCGCCCCGCCCCACCCCGCCCCGCCGCCATGGGACTGGCGGCACGGCGCAGTCTGCCTCCAACTTCCCCGACCACTTGACGTCGCTACATTTAAGGGATATATACGCCGGGGTGTCGCGGAGGGATTAGCAGAGAGTGGGCTGCTGGGGCGACTTGGGCGGGGCGGGGCGCGGCGGGGCGGGGCCCTACACACACCGCCCTCTAGACAATAACCTCGCGAGCATTCATTCGACGTCGCGACGCAAGGCGGTGGAAAAGGGGGACGGGGAGGAAGCCCGGCTGCATGCTCCACCGAACATTATGGTTCCATCGGGGGACACTCGCTTTTACAGCGCGGGCGGACTACTTGCGGCAGTCCTTGAGCGGCCTTCTGCTGGGCGGACGGACGGACGGACAGTCAGTCTAGCGAATGAACTGACTGCTGGGCGGACGGACGGACAGTCAGTCTAGCGAATGAACTGACTGCTGGGCGGACGGACGGACAGTCAGTCTAGCGAATGAACTGACTGCTGGGCGGACGGACGGACAGTCAGTCTAGCGAATGAACTGACTGCTGGGCGGACGGACGGACAGTCAGTCTACAAATGAACTGACTGCTGGGCGGACGGACGGACAGTCAGTCTAGCGAATGAACTGACTGCTGGGGCGGACGGCGGACAGTCAGTCTAGCGAATAATTTGACTGCTGGGGCGGACGGACGGACAGTCAGTCTAGCGAATGAATGACTGCGGGGGCGGACGGACGGACAGTCATCTAGCGAATGAACTGACTGCGGGGCGGACGGACGGACAGTCAGTCTAGCGAATGAACTGACTGCTGGGGGGACGGACGGACAGTCATCTAGCGAATGAACTGACTGCTGGGGGGAGGGGACGGACAGTCAGTCTAGCGAATGAACTGACTGCGGGGCGGAGGGGACGGACAGTCAGTCTAGCGAATGAACTGACTGCGGGGCGGACGGAGGGGCAGCGGGTTAGCGAATGAATGACTGCTGGGCGGACGGAGGGACGTCAGTCTAGCGAAGGGAACTGACTGGGGGAGGACGGACGGACGGACTGTCAGACTGACAGACTGACAGACAGACCGAGCGAGGAAAAGTGGCCCGCCCGGCCTGTCAGCGCCTGCGAGGTAGGCCGCGTGGCCGGCCGCGCCTCGGGCGCGCGTGGCGGGCTGGCCTATGCCACGAATGGCAGGCGGCAGGTCCAGGCCGCCGAGCCTGTCCGCCGTCCGCCCGCGGGGTCACGCCGCACGGGCCCCGTTTTGGGCCCCCCAGAGAGAGGGAGAGGAGAAGAGAGAGAGAGGGGAAAGAGAGAGGGGAAGAAAAGAGAGAGAGGGGACTCCACTTGATGTGAAAAACCCCAAGGGCAGCGACAGGGGTCCCCTTTTTCTCGTTTCTTTTGCTCCTGGATTGGCCATTGACGGGCTGCTGGCAGTGCTGGCAGTGCAGGCGGTGCGTGGCCGCGGCCTTGCGACCTTATCAAAGGGAAACTTGGCACAGCGGGGGAGGGCCCCCGGGGCCCCCCCAGGCCGGCAGCCCCGCCAGCGCGCGCCCCTTGTGCCCCCGCCCCGCCTCGCCGGGCCCCGCCGCGCTGCCACTGTGCCAGTGTGAAGCGCGCGTCAAAGGCCAGAATGTATTCCCTTGTGAAGCCTTCCCCCCACGCCCTGAGACACCGCCCTCATAATTAATATGCTCCGCCTTCGCGGGGTGTGGTGGTGTGTGTGGGTTTTGGGGGGGTTTTTTTGGGGGGTGTGTTGGTGTCGCCCCCCGGCCCCCCGCCCCCACTGTTGGGGGCCTGGTTGGT